GGACAAACTGTTTGAGAATTTCTGCGATGTCGAACAAAAGAAGTTTGACCCCTCTCGTGTAGGCACCTTCTCATGTGCGTGCACCTGGTGACTGATCCATGTTGATCTTGCAGGTCTCTGAGCTTTATGACACCATCAAGTATTGCGCACTGCACCACCGAACATTCCTGTTCTCCATCTTCGACCAAAACGCTGGCCACGGCCAGGATCCGAGCCAGACTCAAGACCGCAAGTTGCATGAACTCTACGGGCGTGCTAAAGCCCTGTTTGATCTAGTGGCGCCTCAGGAATACAGCATTGAGGCTGATGAAAAGTGTGACTTGATAAACCATGACTCGTTTGTATGAAGTTGAACTTTGTACAGGGAGCAGATTGGCGTTCTGACTTCATTACCACTACTTCGGAAAGTCGTAGAAGACCTCGACGCTACGCAAAACAATGGCGCCAGTCCCTTGACCCTTTATTTCACCAAAGAAAGCCATATTCATACGCTTGTCAATCTCGTGCTGCATTCCGGCCTACCAATTGCTAATAGGCGGATGCCCGAGTTAGACTATTGTGTAAGTTCGGTTCATATCTGAGCATGGAAGTATACTGATAAAGGACTCATTGTAGTCCCATATCACGTAGGTCAATTCTTTGTATCCATTTGTCGACTAACTTCCCTGACCGCCGGCCGACTTACTTCCCCCTAGATTTGAACTCTATGAACACAATTTTGGACGCGGGGATTCTGATAAGGAATATTCGATTAGACTCTCCCTTAGTGAAGGTGCTCACTCGTCGAACGTCCTGGACTCCACCTTGGATGCACGTCATTCTTTAAATGTACAGCCTAAAAGGTGACAAATTTCAGTGATCATTAAATTCGCCCCATGGAGCTAATGATTCTTCGTAGAAAATTGACGCAACACCTGCCATATAGTCTCGTGATCGAGAAACTTTCTAAGCATTTCGGTAAAATGACCGAGGCTAGACTCGTGACCAGTCGCCTTACACAGCGACTACAAATGTAAGCCTTGCGACCATTCCGGAGCCATTCCGGCCATTCCGAATCTATCCACACTTTTCTAACTGTATTTGGACCCGGAGCATCCTGTCTCCCCGTTTATATATCAAGCAAGCTTGAAGCGGCTTGCACAAGCCCGTGCCCGCAATACGCCACAAATGGGCCTCCTGTACCTTGGAACACCCTTAACATGGGATGAAGCGAAGCAGTATGCGGACCATGTTCGAGAACATGGTATCACGTAGTTTCTCTATACCTGGGATCGAGTGAAGGACAGATGCGGCGATGAGTTGCTGTGGGGAGACGAGGTGAATAGTACCAGTCCCCGTTTTGCTTGCTTACATATATAATGAAGGGTGGAATACATGGTCGTTACCTTTGACGATAAGGAGAAAAATGCAAAACTTTCTCTCCGCCAGACTGAGATCCTTGCAAAGCTTAGTCAGGTCGTAGGAGACCTCACAGACGACGATACACCCGCGTTGTGAGTAATTGGATTATCAAGGGAAGCGCCGTAATAGAATTGTTGCTCAGCATGACCGTTCCGACTTTCCACCCAGAATACGGAAGATACATGCTGGAGTCGACTCCTGGCTCTCTATACACGGGCTCTATCCCAGACTTACTATCCGTCGAGACAAACATGCACTACAGGTAATGTCGCGTCTCAATGTTTGTGGGTATAATGTGTGGTATTGAACCTTGTCATTAATAAGACGTACGCTCGCAAAAAGGCACCTGAAGGCAAACGAAATCCCATTCACCTTCACATCTTTCCCTCGCCTAGGAACGCATGGCATCTTTACTGAACCTCATTTCTCATCGGACGATGCCAAGTCCAGCCACAGCCTCTTTTGCCAGAGGAGATCACGAACCCTCACGCACGTTTTCCGCCAGTCACTAACTATTTTGACTGTACATGGACGCAAAACTTAATTAACTTGTTTAGTACCCTAACAGCTAATATCCGCAGTAGACGGGGCTCCAAGGTAGCAATCAACCTTCCCATATTTATTGATGAAAAAACACCTCGACCATTTGTTGACCCCACTATACCATGGCAACGTGAGATATACCAAGAAGATCCGGGTAAGTGCAACCCTATCCCATTTACTGAATCAGATCCTGTCGCACGCAGTGATATGCTGCTTGGGAACTGCGGTTCTCGCAAGACTGCAAACAGTTTATGTTGTGCTTAACGTCTGGTTTGTGGTGAAGTCGTACAGGTGCATTCGAGTTACTGAATTACTGCGAGTAGTTTGTGTCTTGCCGTTATTATTGGCCTTCCTGCTGCAACCCCAAAGGCGAACATGAACAGTGCAAGTTATGCGCTTGGTAATTTCACAAATTGTCAGTGAATACGTCCTGGTGGTGAACTCGACTGAATCAGAATGGTATTTGCAGTGAACGGCTGGACAGATGGCTACGCATTCATTCTAAGTTTCTTTGCACCGGCATGGACTATTGGTATGTTCTCACAGGGCGTTGCACGTCTCATGGGCACTGATGTCATGTTGAAGGTTCTTTTGACTCGAATGTGCATATCGACGAGGAATCGTCGAATGCTGCCACTGCTGCTCCATGGGCCATTGTAAGTCTCGAACCCGGTGTTTGTTCAATTACTGAGTGCATTCCAGGTCGGCGCCATCGGTATCGCAGGCATCCTTGGTTGGGGTACGTAGTATTTATTCATGTTAACTTCTCTAACACTGCCTATCGTCTTGCAGCAATCAACGTCTCTCTTACATTCTGTGTGGGCAGCGACCTGGAGTCCCTTCTGAACAGCCCGGTTGGACAACCCATGGCCCAAATTTTCTTCAACAGCTTCAGCCAAAAGGGAACGCTTGCACTGTGGTCCTTCATCGTGCTTGTTCAGTAAGTGGACAGTTGTGCCCTTTGAACTATGATTGATCAGGTGCAGATATATGATGGGCTCGAGCATGGTCCTTGCATCATCCCGCCAAACATTCGCATTTTTCCGTGATGGCACACTTCCGTTCTCATCCGTCCTCTATCGCATGAACAGCTTCACCAAGACGCCCGTCAACACTGTTTGGTTCGTCGCGATCATCTCGATCATCCTCGGCATGTTGTCGTTCGCGGGCCCGCAAGCTATCAACACCATCTTTTCTCTATCCGTCACAGCGTTATACATCGCATAATCAATCTCGATCATCGCGCGCTTCGTGTTCACAAATGACTTCAAGCCTAATCCCTTCAATTTAGGCATCTTTGTGAGTCGGACAGCTTAGTGCTTAAGGATGCTTGTTGACTATTGAGTTGTGATTTGAAGAGCATTCCAGTTGCTTTCATTGCCGTGTCGTACATGTGCATTATGGACATCGCATTTTTCTTCCCGACGACACCACAAACTGATGTTGCGAACATGAACTACACCGTGGTCGTGCTAGGTGGTATACTCTTTTTGTCTATCGTGTGGTACTACTTCCCCGTGTATGGTGGTGTGCATTGGTTCACGGTGTAGATGAGGAATCTTGACTATACGTGAAAACACTTAAAACAAAAGGGGTGCTCAACAGCAAGACCGGGATACGAGACAACGACTCGACCCAAAGGACAACCACTGAGAGAAGTTCCTCGAAATAAAGTGGAGGGAAACTCTGTGAGCTAGGCGGGCGCTAATGGGCGCGAGAAGATAACGCGCGCGAAGGCGCGCGTGCGCGAGGCGAAGGCGCGCGAGATGCGCGCGTGAGCGGGAGGTCCGAGAATGCGCGCGCGCGAAGCGAAGGCGCGCCTAAAGCGTTAGAGGCAAGATCTTACTGAGGAGTGAGTGCAAAGGTGGAGGATTGACAGGAGGATATGATCAGATAACAAGTGGGGAGGTGATCTATTCACTTTCCAGTCTACAAAGATAAGGGAAAAGTAAGTCCAGAACTAAAGGAAACCCTTCTGTATTTAAGAATGGAGAAGGCGCGCTTCCGAGCGCGCTCCCGAACCGAGTAACCATATCAACTCTAATTATAACTAAGTTTAAATAAACTTTCCATAAGTAGCGCGGATGTCGGACCGAAGATTTTATTAGTTCAATGGATAAGATAGAAATAACGCACCAGCGAATCAGTAAGGACATGGGACGGATGGACGGACGATAGCGCGAAGACCTATGAGGAGGCGCGCGAACGCGCGCGCGAAGCGCGCATAGCGCGTGCGTAGGTAAGGCGCGCGTAAGTGCGCGCGAGTTCGGATAAGGCGCGCGCGAGTGCGCGCGAGACTGGTCCTTAGGAGTAGAGCTGTAATGTATAGGAATGTATGGTTAAAGGCCGGATATTCGTCATTGAGACGCGCGAGTCTCTACAACGGGCCCAGTGTCAAACATTGGGAAGGTAACTGAGGAGAAAGTGTCGAGTATTCGAGAGTCAGTAGAGAAGAATATACGCGAGGATGTTACGGCGGTACCTGTTGGGGCTCAAGATTCTGATAGTGAGTCCATTATAGACTTTATTTGCTCAACCCGTACAAGGAATGTGGAATTGCATTTGTTTTACGAAGGGACGAACGAATCGAGGGGTTTCTTTTAAGCTTACGGAGACCGATATGGATACTCCACATAAATGCGCGAGGAGACTTGGTCTGACACAGTTCTCACTGCTTAGAACACGACTGCGTGTCCCTGTGTCAAGGTGCACTACAGGACTTTTTTTTTTTTGATGAGTTTTTCCTTCGACACGATTGATCATGTTGAAATCAAAACTCATCAAAACATCACCGTGACCCTCCACAGAAGTCTAATGAGCGTGGGTTGTAACGCCATTTTTTGACATCTAGTATGCCTTTCGAGATTTACTGCGACCAGGTCAATCTACGTTGCCACTGGCATATGCAACAACACCAGCACTGGTACTTCTACTTTCTATTCCTTTGGGCATTGACACAAATTATGGGCATGCGCTGATTATCAATGATTCGTAGGCTCTGGTATAATCGTGCAACCTAACGGATTTGGTTATGCAGCAGATCACAAAACGACAACATGGCGCGAACATTCTCAACGTCTTGGCAGAATATTCAATCCACAAACTGGCAGACTCTTAAATTCAAACCGCCCCCACCAAACTCTCCCATCGGGTGGCGTGTAGAGTTCCGTAGCATGGAGGTGCAAATGACAGACTTTGAGAACGCTGCATTTGCTGTCTTCATTGTCCTCCTTTCGCGCGCCATCCTAGCATTCAACCTTAATTTCTATATTCCTATTTCCAAGGTTCAAACGGATATTTCTCGATGTCATTTGACTGATATTGTAGCAGGTTGATCAGAACACCATTCCAATACTTTCTGTTTCATCTATTAACAGTGGCAGATAAAAACAGATGGTCTTGCCAATCCCGGTTCCAACATCGAGCACAACATTGTAACCCTCGAGAACTGCGGCAGCCGCCTCAAGTTGCCATGTGAATGGTTATGGCCAAGACTTTCTTCAGCGTGGTGTGCGAGATCGTCCAGGTCAACTTCACCACAGTGAAACTTACGAAGTTTTGAGAGAACTGGCATTGTTGTGCAGGGAGATTTTTGCTCAATCACTTCACTGTGTCCCACTACATATTAGAATGTATTTTGCTCATGTACTATCTCAACTGCAGAATCTGTTCTTTTGTAGCATTTTCTTCGTTTGATACTCTGGAGAGCTCTGGAGTCACCTCCTCACCAATACTGCGGTTGCCTAATTTGGTTGTAGTCGGAGTTTGAACACCTTCTCTGTTGGCTCTGCAGGAAGTGCTACCAGACGCCTTGCTTGAGCTACATTCCACCATAACTCTCACGCAAGACAAGGCGAGCCGTCGGTGACGAGACTAGTAAGTCCGAGCCAAGTCTTTGGTATCATTTAGTCATTTTTTGTTTATCTATGCTTGTACGCCACACCCAAATACTTCAATCGAAATCGTTGACGGGTTGAACTCACCAAGTTCGCACCATGCCACGCACCAAAATGACAGCTCCAAGAGCTACTGGCGGGCTTGCCCCTCATAAGGGGTTTCCAGCCAAAATTTCACTACTAGTGCGGCGGCCTGAGACGGAGAACCTGCCTCATGGCAGCCTTCAAGTCGCGAAGGCCGCTACTGGTGGCGCAGTACCACCTCAAGTTCAAGAAATGGCGCGTTCTTACTCAGTCGCGGTTGTCCAGCCAGAACTATTCAGAAACGAAGTGAGTTATAGTCAGTTCTATGACAGACAGACTGATGTATTTCCATAGTTTTGTATGCTTTGCCAAGATGGCGCACGCGACGGACATTGCATCTACGAATGTGATGAGGACGGCTGCCCTCGGGGCGTCTGCACTGGCTGCATCTCAATCCCGGGTAGCTCCCTGCAAGAGGTAATGCAGCCCACTGTTGTATTTTGCTGTATCCATTGTCATACGGCCCGCGATAAAACATCGGGGGAGGTCACACCGTACTACGTACGTTGATTTATTTGTACTTATTTGGTGTTCTTCTCAATCCCACTTATTTAGGGATTTTATTTGAATGGCAAACCCATCCTCCCGTCATTCTTGCCCATCGTTGGCCACTTGGAATTTTCTAAACGTTCCGAAATATCCGCAATCCCTGTCCTAATAATCCATTTCAAAATTGTCGGCTCTGAAACTACCGCGACCCCCATCAATACGGTCCACTCATACCTTTCGCCGTACTTCTCAAATGGCGGTCTCCGCCTCGTCGATGTAGAGTTTGACCTCGGTACTGCACAAAAAAGGGATGCATACTCTGAGAAGTGTGAGACACTCGTGAAACAGGTAATGGGGGACCGCAGCTACCAGATTGTGTGTATTGCAATCACTAATCATACAAACGACGAAAACGGCGACCCCTTTCTCGGATACGACAAAGAAACCAAAGGCAGCTATATCGCCACCACTGTTCCTGACGTGCGTATATCTAGTTGTATCTTTGTTAGATCCTAATCTGGTCTCTTGCAGTTCATCGATACTCTGCTTGACCCATGGAGCAAGGTGCTTCAGTGTGCGAAGAACACTACGCTGTTTTTCTTCGGATGTGGAGCCCTCGTTAATTACCCCGAAAGTTTTGGCGGTTTGAGTTCGTCTGCTGGCCGTCACAAGCTTACATCCATAGTGGCATTCACCGCCAAGCACTTCCATCCATCCATCACCTGCCACTTCCTGACGACATTTGCTCAGCTCGTACTTATCGAGCGTTTTACCCTGCGCGAGGCTTTTCCTAGTATCCTCGAACAATCAGGACTGGGGATGCACACCGAGGTCATTCTAATGACCATGCCAATGATCCCGTCTTCGGACAACAACCCAGAGTGCACTCGTTTCTCCTTCGCCCACGCGAAGGCCCGTCCGTGGGGATGTACACTTCCCATGCAGTGTGCCCAGTGTGGGTGTCCGACTGTGTGGAAACGAATCAAGGCCAACGCCTCGGAGATGTCTGCGACCTTTCAGTGTTCATTCAAAGGCTATGGCAAAGGGGCTGACGGCAGATGATCTTTTCCCGCATCCACCTACACCTGCAAGGCTCCAAAGGGCTCAAAGTTGCTTCCGGGGAAAAGACGAGATGTTGCGTGGTTAGAGATTCCTGTTCATCCTGACACTGGCTTGTTGCGGCACGCAGACTGATACTGACTTAGAGCGATATGACTTCAAGCCTGTGTACGCCAATACTTCATGATTCGGTTAAATTGACTGCTACCAATACTCCCTACTCTAACTTGAAGTCCTAGTCGCCACGGTGGTAGTCTAATTAGCGAACATGTAGCCTCTAATTCCAACCAGCGAAATACTGCAGACGTTGTACGATTTACATCCCATCGATGCTTTGGTACCTATGATAGTAAACAAAGATGGACGCGTACTCTATATTGCTTTGACCACGTGTTCGCAAAATTACTGAGTAAGCCGTTGAAGTGACAGTCGGAAGGAGCCGTAGTCACGCTGACAGGCGGACTGATAACAATCTCTTCTCATCCTTACCATATCAGTACCTCTCTTGACCATTATGGTTGATTGTGTCCTCAGGGTTATAGTGAGAGCTGATTTTCATCCTGTCATATAGCAGAGCCAACAGTCCCAACTTCCACTGCAGCACTGCCAGTGGCAAACCTGAAGTTTTCACATTAACGGATGTACTTTTCGTGTTGGCATACCAGGAAGGTAAACACCATGTTTTTAGAATCATAAGTCACCACTCATGCAACAAATCTGGGACTTACAGAATTGACCAGTGCCTTCCTCATGCGGCGGCTAAGCTTGGGGGTCCGTGATATCGTTGGAGACGACAACGGTAATCGACCTGATGGATTTGTGCTTGTCATTTGTCATTGATGGCGCTGCGCTGGACCACGCTTTTCCGGATGACGGCAACGAGGCTCTCCACCTTCCGGTAGGCTTTCGCAACAAACTGGAGTTCTGCTTAGTGAGCCATGCACCGGTCTCAATCTTGCATAGCTACTGACTCTTTTTCCCCAAAGCGCATTTGAGTTTACTCACCTGTTATTTTGGAACTCGTTCTGGACTATTTCTCTTGTCCTCGGAATTAGTCTGTTTGATCGAATAGTTGGTAAGATCATACCGCTAGACATACGAGCTGTTGGTTTCTAATGAATTGCACAGATGCCGATGTTCTGATGGCCTTCCCTGAACTGTATCACTATGGTCGCGAACGGACTTGGTTTTCCATGAAATCATATCACAGGTTATTCTACATAGAGCTATATGTTACACAGCCTGGATCTTCTGTGCTGATCGGCCTCTTTCTCGGCACAGGGCGCCATCACCATGTTCTTTGGCACTCAGTGGGTATTCCAGTCCTGCAGATACATGTATGTTCTTATAAAGTATTTTTTCTAGCGAGAACTACTACTCTGCTCTCGAAATGGTTGAGTCTGCTACGCGTTACCTGAAACTGCACGCGACAAAATCAAACTCTTTTCCAAGGTAGCTGCATGTTGTTTCGTGTCTCGATTCTTTTCAACATCGCGTTCCCCAGGACGCTCACGAGTACATTGTCTTTGGGCTCCTCGGAGAAATACTTCTCGCATTAATTCAATGCAACAAGAAGGGTGTCCCAAAACCCCTCGTCAAGGTCATCGCGAAGCAAGTGCTTCTCGGCCTTCAATATCTCCACTATGAATGCGATCTTGTTCGCACCGACATTGAACCTGAGAGCATTTGTGCGTATTTAATTATCTCTGTATTCCCATCCGTCCCACTGACGAGTTACTCCGTTAGTCATTTCCATACCAGCTGTTGAAACTCGTATTCATACGGACTTGTCTATGTCGCCAGCCGCTTTGGGGTGAGTCCTTTATCACGCGCCCGGAGCGAAGTGTCCGAATTGAGTAGGCTGATTTTGATAGCAAGATGCGGAGTAGCCGCGTTGCCCCTCGTCTGAATGCGGCGCGTCCTGCATCGCCTGGGTTGTTTTCCCCCGGTGGGTGTGGGAGTGTGTTAGTACCGTATCCTAGGACGATGCCTATCGTTGGGTTTGGCCATGGTCCATGATTCAACAGCGTTGCCTAGAAGCCATGACCTACATCGTCAGTTTAAATAAACAGTCGTTGCTATTCTTCTTGGCCAAATGTGAACTTCCAGCCGGTTTGGGGAAGATGCTCTCCAGGAATGGTCAAGGCAAGGAGAAACAAATGTCCCCAGACACATTTGCCAATTGTACTGCTTCTTGGTCTTCTTGATCGACAATCACTCCTTAAAATACCCCCGACAATGGATCTGGTCGTGACGCTCTTGTCAACGGTCACCAAACCTCTGACAAGTCTCAAATCGGATAAGAAGGAACAGCTAAGTGACGTTGCACCAGAGACTTCCACTTCTGTGGTACCTGCACCAACTATCTCTGAGGGACAATGAGTTACCCCATATCGCAACTCTGTCGCTACCCGAGAACTCCCCTGCAGCTGCGATGAGCGCTCCACCGCTCCTGCCTATTAGACGAGCCTCAGAGCAACAGGCTGCTCAGCAGAAACGTGCATCCACTGTTCCTGGGAGGAGCAATCGTCCCGCTGCTAGTACTGGTCCGAAAGTGGTAGCATGCAACTTCTGTAGAGGTTGGTTCATTGAGCATCGTGTCATTATGGACTGATTCAAGCATCCTATGTAGCGAGGAAGACGAAGTGCGACGGAGCGCATCCAGCCTGTTCCAGCTGTGCGCGAAGGTCCCTCCCATGTAACTACAATCACGATTCCAGCACCAACGGCGTGAATAAAAAAGGAACTCGACGTGCCTCTACCTCCAAGGCAAATCCCCCTCAAGCACACCTTTCTTCCGTGCAGTCACCTCCCTCCCACTCCCCTCCTTCTTCAACGGTTGTCGGCGACTCTCGTTATTCTGCCGGGAAGTCCTCTGAGGACAACCAAGGAGAGCCCATGGATGTCGATCAGAAGAGAAAGATGGACGACATGGAGCCTTCGCATATTCAAAAGAGAATGAGGGTGGATGAAACCAGTGGGGACGTTATACCCTGAGCACCATCCATCGATCACCCCTCATCATCACTCCCCCTGACCAAACCGGGTGTAAACTGTAGAAGATGCGAAACCATTAGTTGTTGTCCCCCCACGAATCCCCCCTTCGGTGTTACGTTTGATCGTGAACGTTCTTGCGGTCGGAGAGTGTTCATCACGCACCTTCCAGCAGTCTCTTACCTTGATACAAAATCTCTCACACATTCCTGACACGCGCTATATCATCACGCAGGAGCTTAAAGCAAAGGCACATGATTGTGGACACGCTGTTATTGCTGACCTGGGCGATCTCATGAATGCCTTGACGATAACTTGAATGTCTTGGCGTCCTCCGTTGCGCCGCAGCGCTCTCCGACCTGCATCACCTTTGGTCCCCGACTTTCACTTGACTACCCTACATTCGTTCATAATGCGCTTCTTTTTAACTCTCAGTCTCATACTCCCATCCGTGCTCGCAGCACCTTTTAAATTCCCCACCCACCACCAACATGTAAGTCTCTCGCTAACCATCCAGGCATACCACTCATTCTACCAGTAGTCACCCCCCTGCGTTATCACAGGTGTCGCTTATCTAAACCCTCGTCACGCCCTCGTCCTCCTTGGCAAACGAGAACCCGACCCTCCCACCAGAGACTCTGAGTGCGTTTTCCCCGAACTCTCACTCTTTTATTTATTTTATTTTATTTACATTTCTATGACGCTTTATCACATTGGAATCTTTAACTTCCGACTCAGAGGTCCGGCAGAGAATGACAGTGTGCTCGGCACAACCACTCCAGGAGGTGCTCCCTTAGCGTCCAGTGACCAGAATGCCAGCTCTCCCACTGCTGCTAGTCCTTCGACAGCTCCTGCAACTACTACTTCACCTGCCCCATCTCCTTCAGAGACTCATGGAAGTACCACAGCTGGGCTCACGTCAACTGGTACTCTCGCCGGCAGCGACTCGGATGCTCATGGAACTTCGGCCAACACTGCGAGAAACCCTTCCTCTGAAAACGCAGCTTCCTTTGCGGATTTGGAGATAACACTAACACAGTCCGGCTCATCTGCATTTGACACACCAATACCCCAAGATATGACAGCCGGCTTCTCCAGCCCTGTCATGGACAGCAGCGTATCCGACAGCTTTGGCGATGTATCTGGCACCGCAGGGGCGAATGGCATGACGAAGACAAGGGAATTAGACCCACCGGTGCCGTTGACCTTGACGAGCGGATTGGATTATGATTGTGAGTACGGTGTGTATCTCACATTTACTGATGTGCATCGGGGGGTGGAAAATTTATCCTATGGTACAGGTTACATGTGTAATGAAAGCGTTGTGAGTACGTAAATTCGCCCATCCAAACCATGAGACTAATGTGCACCTCTCAGCCCTAAGAGGTACTCGATCTCCTTCATTTCCAACTCTAACAGCCTACGCTCTCTTGCGATCCACAGCACCATCATGGCACGCATCTCTTCTCCCCAAAGTGGCGGCCGCGGGAACGGTACAAATGGTTGTTCTGGGCGATAGAGCTGTTGGCGCACGCGCACATGCGCCATCGCCCATGTCGCGTAAAGAATTTCCTAGAATTTATTAATTCATTTTTTGTATGTATATTCTTTCACTTACCAATGGTTCATCTTGAATTGTAAATGACACTTCGCGACGGCTCGGTAAATGGTTTATACGCTGATATCGTGACCCACCCGTGCGCGCCACGACGAGACAGATCAGCGCTGATCAAGGGTTCAATTGACAACGTACCTGGTTATGATCCCCGTCCATTTCTCTATTTCCGTTCCTGTTTACCCAGTCTCTGAGTTCATTTCTGTAGTTTTGCATTGTGAAAGTTGGATGAATTGAAGTTTCTGACTGCGGTCACTGAATCTTCGAATATCGAGCAGTTGATGGTATGCTAATTGGATAATCGATTATGTGTAACATCGAGGTGACAACTACCGTGACATCAACACTACCTGGACCGATGTAGAGAATCATGCCTCTCATGGCGTGATATGGTAGTTTTCACCAAGGAGTATACAGCACGAACTCATAGCATTACTCTGTGCGCTACCCGCAGCTATCTCTATATGAGGCGCAGCTTTCCCACGCAACGCGCGCCATGCGCGCACCATTCCCGCGCTTCACGATGTATACGCGCGCGCGCGTTCCCGCGCTTGCGCGCCCTATAGCGCCAGCCATCCAGATGCATCCATCCACTGTCCACCAAGCTCCCTAGTATGTATATTTCCATTTCCTTTATTAGCATAGTTCCACCTTTATTTTTATCATAGTTTCTCACTCATATATATTTTTACATACCTACTCGGTAGCGCTTCGGCTCCGCATGAGCGCGCTTAGGCGCGCTATATAAGCGCCAGCAGTACATACTACACTGGACCTGACTTTTCCCTTGAACTTACTAGTTATCACCCACTATTTACTTAGCAGTACATAGTAGAAGTCTATTGGTCTACACTTTGCATCTATCTTTTCTTATATTGCTTTATATCATCACTTAAGCTTAGTCTCTTTTATTTCCGCTTACGCGCGCGCGCTTTCCCGCGCTTCGCGCTAATACGCGCGCGCGTTCCCGCGCCTTCGTACCTTGCGCGCACTTGCGCTTTCTCACGCTTCGCTGAAGCGCGTACCTCTAGATCTTCGCAGCACTCGCTTCCCCTAGGGTCGAACGCACTTGTCTCCTCAAGAATAGCAGACTAGGTAACGCGCGACCTCACAACATTTTATAGATACAGTTAGGAGCATCCTTGTTCCTCATTGTATTGTTGTTTCTACACCGACGGAGTGATTTCTTTCTTTGTAATCTGCGTTATTGTCACATAGTCGGGCGTAGTACTAAGCATTCCTTCTCCCCTTCCTCCTCCCAATTTATCCTTGCGACTCGCAACATATGAGATAGTCCAAGTGCCTTCGGATACTTCTCCAATAGATGTCTGCGTACTCGGGCCTCAGGCCTGTACACTTCAACTCGGATGCCGCATCATTAGTAGTACTACTACGACTCGGAGGTGACCGTGACTACTAAGTACTAAGTAAGTCATCCAGTCAACTGTCGTGAAGTATCTAGTAGCATTTTGACAAATTGTCTGATGGCGCGTCACGTCGGCGGCTGAGACTACTACTCTGAACGCCATTACCATAGTGCCCGTCCTGATCGCCCTTACCCCCGGGCCTATGATCTTATAACAACTTCCTGCCGCTTCTTTCGAGATGCTGATCCAAATCTTCAGAATTAAAACCAACTAATCCTCCTGCCGGTGTTAGTGCTATCCACGAATACCGCTCATCCGAGCCTCCGCGCTAGTTGTAAGTGACGACCTATGACATATGTCCGATACATCTCAGCTGAATTCCTTGTTAGATTGACGCTGGCCCAGTGGGTCTGGTAGCAGCGCTGACGCTCCTCCAAAACGGTATCTCAGTTTGCATCATCGATAATCTGGTAGCAACGTTGACGCTCCTCCAAAACGGTGTCTTAGTTCGCATCATCGATAAAGACCCTACCCTCGTGTCGGACAGTGTAGTGCTGGAACATGGGTTTGTGCCACATCCACTTGTCATATCTCCCCATGGTCTCATTGAACGCATTCTCTATGTATATTGTACTAGCCGCGCTCCCTCGAACTCTACAACTTCCTGGGCATTTCGGAAGTCAACAGTCTAGGAACACCAGCCCCTGTCATGCGTGGATACAAGCCCGGGATGTTGGAAGTTCTGAAAGACTCATTGATGGTCCCGCATATCGAACCTACTCCAGCAATACCATTCGTGCGCAACACCGTCGCCTGATCAAACCTTCATGCTCATTCGATTTTTAGTATTGAAGGGTCAGTAGCTCCTAGATGTCGTTCTGCGACGCCATCTAGAAAAATTCTCTTGTTCTGTCGAGATGGGCACCGAACTCCCGTCACTGCTGTTCTAGCAAAGAATGGCATATCAGAAATTTTTGATACTGAGTCGATCATCGGCGCTGATGGTGCTAAAGATGAGACGCAGCTAAATCTGTTGGGATGCGCCAGACTAAAAGTGGCTTGGCAGGCATCGTGCGCAAGCAACTTGGCCTCACATTTTCGGGCGAGATTAGAAAGGATACTCTGATTGTGACCGGAGACATCAGCTTGACGCGTTGGCCTCGATAGACTGGTACGTCTTGTTTTCTACATATCTCATGGAAAGCTATCCTGATGCAGCCTTGAAGCATTGGCACCGATTTGGAAACTTCCATGAACCAGGGTATGTTCAGTTGAGGCTTGGAGACATGTATATTGACGATATGCAACCTCTCATTGTGTCCAACAGACGAAGCTGGCAATGACGGTTGACAATTTTTCTTCTTTGGTCATGAACTAGATTTGGCAAAGATTGCTGCGAGCGAAAAGCTCATTTTCGAGACTATTGCGTTGTTAATACCAACGGAGATTTCATTCAACAAGGTGGTTTGGATGAGCAACTTCCGGTGCGTTTCGTGTTCTATCACGGTGTTGATGCATGTTTATCGGTTTGTTCCAGAGCTAATATCTGGGTGGTGAATAAGTTTAGCGAGGGTCAAGCGTTCGTTACAGATGGTATGTGGTTCTGTTTCAAATGCATATGACTGTACTCACACATGTCGTCGTAGACGCTGCTCAGTATGCTATCTTTGAAAGCTTCTTTGTAAACTGCCGCTAACACATATCCAAGCGTCCATCATAGCCCAACGGGTGGTCGGGTATGGTTGATCCGATCATTGTTGCTAATACTTGCTCATATGTCTACGAACAGGAACTCAATTCAGGCGTACAAAATGCAGTAAGTCGGGTAGATGCAGCATGTGTGTTACAACTGACCGCGCCCTATACCAGTTCAATCTGAGATGGAAGCTTACACCAAGTTCGGTACCGTCCACGACAAATTTTTAGCGCGGTGTTCGTAATGGTCAGCTTGAACTAAGTGGGTAGTAAGTCTTATGTTCTACTGTTTCGTAATCTTTATATCTAACGTGTTGCTACAAGACATAGCAAAACTCTTTGAACCCCTCCATCAGCAGCAGCATCGAAGCCTTCGAAATGCAGCAGGCTCGAATAATAGTAAGTTGTCATTACCGTCAAATTCCGTATAAGCCCCAAGCTCATTCTACATGGCTTCCAGCGATAATGTCGATCTGTATTTAGGCAGAAAAGGAAGCAGGAGCACAGATGAGCGGAAGGATAGGTGGTCGTGGGTAGAGTCCCTAGCATGCCTAAGTCTTTGCAGCTAGACTTTTGGAAAAAGATGTCGTATGAAAGGCCGCAGCCCCATCATCGTTTCATACTGTCATTAGTTCCTCTGTGCAACTCACGCATCACATCCGAGTTTTGTGCACAAATTTACTTTTCACTTTTCTTTCTCTAATTAGTGTGTATGCTAGGCAATACGTGAACGTATATATTTTAATGCTAATAAAAATCCAAACTTTGCAGTTATCGGCATTGTGTCTGGAAAGCCATGAAAAGCTTATCAGAACAAGGAAGAATGAGAATGAACGGCAACTTTGAGAAGAGTGCGCTACCATACCTGTCGTGTTGCGATGGCGCCATATCACGACTTCGTGGTGGACTTCAGTGACATTATACATATGTTTAGCAGTGCCAAAGTTACTTTTCGCGAGAAGGTCATGGATAACCTCGAATAGTATCTTAACCTGGAAGAAAAAAGTCAAAAGTAAACGACGTCGAGAGAAGCGCGCTAACCTACCTTGCGTGTTGCGATGGCACCATGTCACAACTTCGTGGTGGACTTGAATAGCATTATACATCTGTTGAGCAGTGCCAACGCTCCTTTTCACGATAATGTCTTGAATAATGTCGTAATTCAATATATAAATCAGGCAAAACGACAATGCTCAAAATAATTGGCATAAGTAAGCTATCACCCCCCATCTGTTGCAAAGGAGGAATGGGATGACCTCGTTGTGAAAAGCTCATGTCACTCTACATTTACAGGTGTCAATGGCTATGTATCTACAACTCCAATTTCTCGCAGTATATATGATATTATTTAGCAGGAGCAGAATTGTATCCTTCTATAGTTCTCACGGGTACAATATCAAGGACTCATCGGTTCTCTGATGCTATTGTGTATTTACATAAATGGCATGAGGCCACCCTTTCTCCAATTTCTTGTTGCACTTTACTACGGTCAGATTGATCATCGACCTCAAGTATTGAATCACGACAATCAATTGGGGGACTCGAGGTCAGTTCCTCCTCCAGACATCGAGACACGCAATGAAACAAACGCTGCTGAAGGCCCGGTAGGTGGCTGATATTCATGAAGTTGAGGCGCTGACTCTTGTCAATGCACCTTTGTCTACGTCTAGGGTCGACCCCGTGGCAAAATCTGTCGGTTTCTAGGGAAGATTACGAATGATGTGATCACAAAGATTTCTGTGAGTCGAAATTGAATCGAAATCAATGTTGAGTGTACTGAGATTGGGCTGATATTGTACGCAAGTGCTCGAACTTGAAGGATTCGCGCAGCTGCGACCCTGTTCTCCCTAACGTCGATCATGAAGGCTCATCAATTCCCAATATCGAAGTAGATGACATTCCAGTTTCTGCTCTTTCTGTCTAACATCTACTGGCCGCACAGGTTCAACCTGCCACCATTCAGGATGCTTCTACTGGTGTGAAACAAGGTGCCGATCCCCAATCGTTGTACGTGGTACTTCGGGACGCCTATGGTGATGCAGATGCACTTTTGGGACCTGTCAGATCCGTAGTGTCTGCAGGCCGAAATGCACCAGCAGCTCTCGATGATATGGACAATATGGAGGCCACATATCTTCAACCCCTCAGGATATTCGACACTGTGATCAGGGAAGTCGCAGAGGTATGATCTCTCTCCTCATCAGAACTGGACTAATACTGTTCCGCAGGTACATCCATATGCAAAGATGGCATTGGGTGTGCTATCTTGCGCATCCAAAGTATGTTTTTCTTTGCTCTTATTCACACTTCCTGCTCAGTTGTTCTGCTTGCAGATAATTCTTGCTCAAGCAGATCGCGACGAAGCGATACTCGACCTCTACAAGAAGTTGGGTCAAGTGTACAGCTTCATGACGCAAGACGACACACTTGATCAGATTTCGTCGATGAGCACCATTTTGGGACAGATCTCTCAACAGACCCTTGAATGTGCGCATTTCATCAGGAATTATTCAGAGAAGAAAAACTTTTGTGAGTCTCCAACAAGTCGTTTCACTGCAGATTTTCAATTTTATCATAGGGAAGAGACTTGGAAAGAACGTTCTTTCGGAAACAGACGACACGATACAACGGTATAATAACGTGTTGGATGCGCTTATGCAAAACTTCCGGGACCAAGTTGCTCGCGACGTAGCCATCTACATCCACCATACAGGTAAGGATTCGGACTTGCTTCTGGCTCGACAGTCATTTATACTTTTACAGGTGAAATACTGGACCTCAGTGGTATGGCTTATGCGGAGGCCGCAGGACTAGATACTAGGAAACGATGTCTGCCAGGGACGCGCACGGACATTCTCTCCAACATCATGAGATGGATCAACGACAGTGGAGATGATGCTCCACGCGTGCTATGGCTATCTGGCCCTGCCGGAACGGGTAAATCAGCCATCGCTCACACGATCGCTAGCTCATTCATTGGGGTGGGCGGACTCGGTTCTTGTTACTGCTTCGACCAAAACATGGACGATCACCATAAAAAGGTCTTCTCTACCATTGCGCGCGACCTGGCCGACTGTCATCCCCAGATGAGACAAGCGTTAGCAGACGCAGTCCGGAACGCAAATGCGCTCAAGACTACAGCGGATATCGTACAGCAGTGGCAGGAGCTTCTTATTGAACCGCTAGGGAAGCTTTCTGAGTCACCTGTAGGGCCTGTTGTGATCATTATTGACGCACTAGACGAAAGTGGCAAGGCAGTGGAGACACGCAGCGACCTTCTACGCATTCTTGCCGGTAAACTTCGAGATCCCACCATCACTCATGTCACGAAACTTCCGAAAAACTTCCAGATCATCGTTACTTCTCGCCCACTCCATGATATAGAAGCAGCGTTTGCAGGTACTCAACATATTCGACGGATGTCCATGGACGACATTTCATCAGCCATCGCAGAGCGCGACATTCATGCTTACATATCGAACCAGTTGGAAGAGTTTTCGGATTTTGGGGACACACAGTTTCCAGTGCTTGCTAAGAAAGCTGATGGCCTGTTTGAGTGGGCACATCTTGCTTGTAAATCCATCAAAGCACCCCCTCCTGGCTTATCTTCATCCGAGTCCTTCGATGCTGTGGTATCCCGCATTCCCGCTGAGCGGGAAAACTTATTGTATGATATGTATGATTTTATTTTGACAGAGATCATGCGAATAGACCAATCTCCCCGTTCTACGTCTCTGCACAAACAGCTAACGAGATTTCGTTCTGTGATGGGACAAATCCTTGGTGCAGCTGAACCCCTCTCTTTGGAGTCCCTGAATGTTATGCGGAACCGATTTCCAGACAATAGCGAGCATTACGAAGTGCAAGTCATGGTCAAACATATGGGATCCCTCCTCAGTGGCACCGCCGGCTCATCCACCCCCATCTGACCCCTTCATACCTCCTTCCGTGATTTCCTTACAGACCGCGAATGCAGTGGAGAGTTCTTCGTTGACGTGTCGAAGGCACATCGAGACCTTGCTTTCGCATCGCTTCGAGTGATGGAATATGAACTTTCTCTCAATATTTGCGATCTAAAATCATCGTATCTCCCAAACTCCGAAGATCCCGGTCTGCGAGAACGAGTTGAAAAATGCATCCCCCCACATCTATCCTATGCCTGCCGATCCTGGCCTGTCCATGTACAAGCAATTGACTTCGATCCAGACCTTGCCAAAGAAATAAAATCCTTCTTCAACCATGAGCGACTGTTCTTCTGGCTCGAGGCACTTGGCCTTATCAATGCGCTCAGCGGCATAGTCCCCGCCCTCCCGCTTATCGCCAAGTGGCTGAAGGTGAGCACGTGGTTATTGATCGTCAGATAACATGCTCGCTAACACGGATTCACAATTACAGGGTCACACCGGATACGAAGAAGCCTCGTCTGCTGCAATGGACGTGCATAGGTTTATCCAAATCTTCGGTGGCCTCATCTTGCACAGTACACCTCATCTCTACGTATCAGCACTGCCATTCTCTCCCCTTAACTCTGCACTATCCAAAATGTTCACCGCACGGTTTCCTAACTCTCTTCATCTGGCATCTCGGCGTGATATCAACTGGACGGCTGTCCAGATGGTGATCAGCGGACACACTGATTGGGTTAGGTCAGTCTCGTTCTCGCCGGATGGAACTCGCATCGCGACTGGATCGGATGATCGCACTGTGCGGCTGTGGGATACAACAACGGGACAACCAGTAGGCGAGTCCTTGCTGGGGCATACTGACTCAGTTCGCTCAGTTTCATTCTCACCAGATGGGACATGCATCGCGTCTAGCTCGGATGATCACACTGTCCAGTTGTGGGATGTAGCAACGTGTCGGCCCATTGGTGAACCCTTATTGGGACATACTGGGCCGGTGAAGTCAGTCGCATTCTTACCAAACGGAACTCGCATCGTGACAGGTTCATATGATAGGACTGTCCGACTATGGGATACAGCAACGCGGCAACCAGTTGGTGAACCCTTACAAGAGCACACTGAGAGGGTTAACTCAGTGTCGTTCTCGTGGGATGGGACTCGCATCGCTTCTGGTTCACACGATAACACTGTCCGACTGTGGGAAGCGGCAACAGGGCAGCCAGCCAGTGAACCCTTGAAAGGGCACACTTCTTCGGTCTTATCAGTCTCATTCTCTCCGGATGGGACTCGTATTGCCACTAGTTCTGCAGATATGACTGTCCGACTGTGGGACGCGGCGACAGGGAAGCCTGTCTGCGAGCCCCTGGAGGGTCACACTGATTGGGTGAGATCAGTTTCGTTCTCGCCCAATGGAACCCGCATCGTGACAGGCTCGGATGATCAAACTGTCCAGCTGTGGGATGCAGCAACAGGGCAGTCAGTAGGTAGGCCCTTGCTGGGGCACACTTATTGGGTTATTGTAAGCACGCTGGCTTACCTGAGTTCTCATAATCAGTACATATACCGTCGCTGATACTGAAAGCTAAGCTTTCAGTATTTCACCTTTTGGTGTAACGGTTATGCGTGGCGGCAGTGATTTTTTGTGGGCCCCTTGCCTGAAGACGAAGGTTTTAACATGGTAGCTACGATTACCGATCGTCTCAACGCTGATGTTCGTTTAGTACCGTGTCGAGAAAACGTGACAGCACAGGAGTTCGCGAAACTGTTCTTCAATGAATGGTATTGTGAAAACGGTCTGCCACTGGAGATAGTTTCAGACCGTGACAAGCTATTTGTTTCATCATTCTGGAAGTCCTTAACGCAACTGACGGGTATTAAATTAAAAACGTCAACAGCCTTTCACCCTCAGTCCGACGGCGCTAGTGAGCGCACTAACAAAACGCTCAATCAATGCATTCGCTTCCACGTCGAACGGAACCAGAAAGGCTGGGTACGGGCACTACCGCAGGTTCGATTCAGTATCATGAACACATGTAACGCCAGTACCGGTTTCTCTCCGTTTCAACTACATCTTGGTCGTTCACCCAGACTCATTCCCCCACTCGTCCACAACGACAACTTGTCAGAAACCGAGTTCGATGCTCACACTCTCATCAAGCGACTAGAAACAGACGTGTTAGAGGCGCAAGACTCCTTGTTTGCTGCAAAAGCAAGCCAAGCATCAGCAGCGAACCAGCACCGCGCAGACGAGCCTAACTTCCAAGTAGGAGACCGTGTCCTTCTCGCCACAAAGAACAGGAGACGGGAATACCTACAGAAGGGCAAACGTCGCGTAGCTAAGTTCATGCCCAGATTTGATGGACCATACACCATCACTGATTGTCATTCGGAGTCTTCCACGTATACACTGGATCTACCCAAAACGATGAACGTCTACCCCACCTTCCACGTTTCACAACTGCGCGAATACCATCAGAACAACACTTCGCTATTCCCCAATCGTGAACAACAACGTCCAGGTGCCGTCGTCACGGCAGAAGGCAACGTCGAGTGTTTCATCGAAAAGATCGTCGATGAAAGACGGAGAGGGAGGGGTACCCAGTACCTGGTTAGATGGCAGGGAGAGGGACCAGAGGCGGACGAGTGGCTTCCGAGAAGAGAGCTTGAAGAAACGGAGGCCCTGGACATCTGGTTAGGAGAACAAGAAGCTGCAACGTCATAGGGTGGAGGAGTCACATCGGGTGAACAATATTTAAAAGAGGTTTATATGTTGTACAAAATGTGAAGACAATATTTAATATTTCAACTAACATAAAGATGGGTGCACGACTTCAAATTTTGGTGGTGTTTTGTGTGTAATCCAAAATATCAAATATTCACAACCATATTCCCACAGACAATATGTCAACAAACATAAGAAATATAGTCAGATTTTTCATGTCTGCTTCAACTTAAAGTTCAATTTCCATGTAAAACTTTGGAGAAAACTTGAAGTTTTACAGATGACATGACATTAAAACTCGATTTAAATGTCAAGCTTTGGCAAAACTTCAAGTTTTCTCCAAAGTTTTATGTAAGAATCAAACTTTAAATTGAAGCAGACATGGAAAATCTGATTATATTTATTATATTTGTTGACATATTGTCTGTGGGAATATGGTTGTGAATATTTGATATTTTGGATGACACACAAAACACCACCAAAATTTGAAGTCGTGCACCCATCTTTATGTTAGTTTAAATATCAAATATTGTTTTCACATTTTGTACAACATATAAACCTCTTTTAAATATCGTTCACCCCGATGTGAGTGTAAGTTGGATGCTTACTACGCACTTGCTTGCGAATGTTTGGCTTGGCTGATTGGTTCATAATCATGTGGCGCTGCTGCCTTGTATCTTATCTACTTCTGACCGCACCGTCAATCCACGACCTGTCCACGCTTTGTCTGTTCCGTTCTGAGTGTTTCCCTACACACGGGGTTTCCAGTTATGTCAGTCTCGTTCTCTCCGGATGGGACTCGCATTGCGACTGGTTCTACAGATACCACTGTCCGACTGTGGGATGCAGCTGTAGGGCAGCCAGTTCGTCAGCTATTGCGAAGGCACGCTGCTTCCATTACCTCAGTCTCGCTATCGCCGGATGGGACCCACTTCGCGACTGGTTGGAAGGATGGCATTGTCCGGCTGTTGAATGCAGCGACAGGGCAGCCAGTTGGTGAGCCCTTACTGGGGCACACTGATTGGGTTATCTCAGTCTCGTTCTCTCCGGATGGGACTCCCATCGCAACTGGTTCTGCAGATAGGACTGTTCGGTTGTGGGATGTGGCAACGGGAAAGCTTATCTGTGAGCCCTTGGGGGGACACACTTATTTGGTGAGGTCAGTTTCGTTCTCGCCGGACGGAAGTCGCATCGTGACAGGTTCGGATGATGAAACTGTCCGGCTGTGGGATGCAAGAACGGGGCAGCCAGTCGGTGAGCCCTTGAAGGGACACACTTCTTCTATCAAGTCAGTTTCGTTCTCGCCGGATGGAACTCGCATCGTCTCTGGTTCGGATGATAAGACTATCTGGCTGTGGGATGCAGGAACAAAGCAGCCAATCGGTGAACCCTTGCGGGGGCACACTTCCTCAGTCAACTCAGTCTCGTTCTCGCCGGATGGGACTCGCATTGTTTCTGGTTCGCGTGATGGGACTATCCGCTTGTGGGATGCAGAAACGCGGCAGCCAGTCGGTGAGCCCTTGAAGGGGCACACTGATTGGGTCTACTCAGTATCGTTCTCACCAGATGGGACTCGCATCGTCTCTGGTTCGCTCGATACGACTGTCCGGTTATGGGATGCAGCGACAGGGGAGCCAATTGGTCAGCCATTGATGGGGCACACTTCTTCGGTCACATCAGTCTCATTCTCGCCGGATGGTACTCACATCGTTTCTTGTTCATTCGATGGGACAGTCCGGCTCTGGTATGCAACGATTAGGAAGTCATTGCAGGACCCCGCCGAAGAAGACCACTCACCATCCTCCCTGCACGGCAGTTGCATCCCACATCCAACAGCGGCCATCGCCACACCCAACACCGTGAACGATGACTTTATTTCCTTCTCATCCAACTCGGCACATGCACTGTGCGACACTGCTGAGCTACTCGCAGGCACTTCTCATGACGACCACACGTTTCTGCTGGGAGCCGATGGATGGGTATCAGGACCAAATAAACAGCTATTATTCTGGGTGCCACCTGGTTCTCGAGAACCATTCTATAATTCTCGGACTGCATTATTGATACCCAGAGGTGGTGTTGAGCTTGATTTTCGTCACATGACACATGGGACACGCTGGCAGCGTTGTCGCAAGGAGTGAGTTTGCAGTGCTCTCCGTTGTTCGCAGTCAATTAATTCGGTTATTGTAGCTCTTGATTACGATGATCTCGTTCTGGTGATTAATTTTCGGAGATGCCTGAGACACTTCGTCGAGTACAATTGGAGTGTACATATCTTGAGAAAAGCGACACAGTAGTTTGATAGTTCTGCGGAAGGTGCCAACCACACAAGCTGTCTGCTTCATTCTCTGTCTATAATCGAATCAGAGACATGCAACTATGTGGTCGATGAAGAAGTCGTTGGTGGCTTTTGGGGGGGTTAACACCGTTAAACACAACGTATGTGCTACGGTCTCCAAACTGCGACATCACCAGCCACCAGCATTGCGTGATGATTTTAACTCCTTGGATTGGTCGTGTGTTTGATAGTAAGGATGCCATTCAATGGAAGTAGTAGTATTACTAGGTCACCAAACAGCGCCAGTGACTAGCAACCGAGTAAACAAATTCACACGAGTGAATCACTGAGTATTCCTTAATTAAATCCACGACGTACCGCCTCCAGTCCCCCTCTGGCTCGAAGCCATCTGAAAGGATTGTCTTCGCAAAGCACTATTTTTTTGCTGTAGCAGCCACGACGTTTCCAACGCGAATCGGTAGCGCATCCGGATCTTCGAGTACCATTGGTCACGGAAAATGTTCCTCTGGGGAACGTGAACTCTTGAACTTCAAGTATGGCGAGGCGCACAAGAAGGTATTGCAACTGAGGCTATCGTTGCAAGTATCGCGAATGATGTCTACGAACTAATTCATGGATGTTTTGCCAACCGAGGAAATATTGAAAAGACCGTGTTCAAGATACGCTCAAGGAGTCTGAAGAGCATGACGCCGCCGCCGCAACATCTTCAAGTTTGCTATAAAGATATTTGAGGAAGATAACAGAAGCAGCCGTGAAGGCGAAAGCCATTTACGACATGACGTGCAGAGCTCGCCGCCGCCGCCGAGTTGGACGCTGTTGTGCGACCTGATCCGCAGAGCAGAGGCGGTCCTTATTTGGAGGCCCATCGACAGCCACCCTTGCCTTCTATCCTCTGACGTGACGACACCGGTCTTGCAATGATTTGTGGAGTCGACAACAATACTGTTGCATGTTATTGTTCATATTTCACTTCGAGCCCTTGTCCGACCATGGGCACCCTGTACCTCCAAAGTCTTTCCCGATGGCCGTTACTGAACCTACTCTGTATCCTCTGCCTCAGTCGTGTTTGAATTTGCTGTATCCCAGCCCGTGCTCAACTAGCTCACACGAGTTGGCACCATGGGTTCCTTTCCTCCAACAATGCTGCATTCGAAACAGCGGGGGACATTTTTGAGGCTAAGGCTGTCAAAGGTGGCCTCACTGATGAGTGGCGCGTATCGAGAGGACGAGAAGCTGCAGCTAAGAGATGAAGTTGGACGGATATGGACAGGTGTATACTACGTTCTGGAGCTCTACCCCGAGGCCCAGGGTAAAACAAATTCCCGATGAGAGGGTATTATGGCGTGAGTGTGCTATCCAACCAATGTCATTGTAGCGTCCATTGTTATGGCTTGTAACGAGGACTCACTTAGTATTCTCTAGCAGACTATATTGAATGAAGAAAGTCGTTTTATCTTGATTGGACTGATATTTAAACGAGAGAACATTGCCAGTTGATGCGTATTGATAGCACGCATCTTGTATCTTTTCTTCATCAGTGTTGACTATCTCACAATAGCTAGAGCCAGTTCCGACACGATCAATGCGCCGATTTATGGCCCACTGGCAGGTGTCGCAGGCAGAACAATTGATGTAACTGACTTCAACAGGGGCGGGCGGACTGGTTGACGCGGTCGGTAGGAATAAGAAGCCCATAGCAGCTCGAATGGCGTCTCGCAAACATATTCAGCACAAAAACAAACACGCTGCAGACTCACTTTTGGATAATTTTTGAAAGGTGAGGGACGGCTCGAATTCGATGATGATTCCCTTGTATCCAACATACCTTGCGCTATGACGAGGAGATGAATGGCTATGAAAACAACGACATTACCTGGAGCCAAAAGGTGCGTGGTTTTACTGATATATTTGTACAGTTCGTATTTCAAAGTGATTCCATGATAGGGACGAAAGCACAGCGCCCAAGTCACAATCTGTGACTGCCTGCATGCGCATCACCCGTTCTCTCGGTTTATTTCGCCCGGAAAAAGGTAGGGTTGCTGGAAAGATCCAGTAGGACCAGTATCCACGGGTAACTTTCCATTATAAATCTTTCTACCCTTCTTTGAACTCGCCATCGATAGCAAGTGAGTGACACCCTTCCTTTCCCCCCTCCCCTGCTGATCTGGTCTTCGCAAGTGGTCTCCACTGGAATGAAGCCCGCTCCCTTGGGCAGTGCATACAGGATGCAACATCAGAGTAACGAATCAGCTGCCGGTGACGGCCATCGCACCATACCACGACCGACGCCTGCGGAATTTCGCAAGTTAGTATCTGGTCCCCAAGAAAACATCATCCGTGCAATGGACGTAAGTCAGCCGGTCTTCGAAGAATTCAAGGTAAATAGTGATTGCGCATTATCGTGCATCGCTCATCTTCAATAACAGAAAATTCTCCGCGATCAAGCAGTTATGATGCTTGATTGCGAGAGGTTCATACACGAGCAAGTCCCAGACATCTGGGCAATATATTTGGACTGGGTAAGCTATTTTTTTTCTACCAGTAAGTTATATGGACTATCTAACACCTCCTCAGGCTCGCGAGGAACTGGCATCATTTTTATCCAAGTACACCGATGGACAGTGGCCTGTAGAGCTTTACATCGAACATTACTTATCCAAGAAAACGTATGCCAAGCGTCACGCCTTCAGAGCCAAGATAACGAAATTAAGGCCCGCCCCCAAAACTGTTCGTGTTAAGAGCTCTGCCTCAGAGGTAAAGTACCTGCGCCCATACTGCCAATGAATAGTGCCGCTTATCCTTTTGCGCCATAGCATGGTGCGAGCTTGCCACCCGCTCCCGGTGGTCCACCTCCACCTTATGAAGATCACGACTTTGTACAACCTCATGCGGCGAATGACGACAATGTCACTGTCGAGAACTTTCTCAAGACTGTTAACCCTGACATTAGCCACTTCCTCCCCGCGTTTGAGGAATTAGGGATCAGCAGCGAAGCGGACCTGGTTGTTGTGAGGTCGTGGGCTCCTGGTGTGCGAAAGGATTTTTTCGAGAGAGAATTGATGGGGAAGATGAGCGCTCTCCAGATCCAGGCTTTGAATATCAAACTTGGAGAGGTGAATTAGCGACCATCCCAAATTTATGATCTTTTAGTCTTAAGCTTCACACTTATATGATATTTTTTCCTTCAAATCGAGTTCTACTTGCATTTTGTGGGTGGCTCTGTTTTGCCAATCGGCAGCATTCTCTCCCTTACGACGTTGGGAATCAAAAGATTCTTTGATCTCGGAAAGGCGTGGTGGGTCATGGCGAGATCGTAGTGTTACTGCTCTCACACATTACCGACACTGGGGGTCTCACAACAGGGGATGTTTATACAGATGCTGGTTAAAATGCCGCTGCGATCAATAATTGTCGATATATACAGAATATTGGTAGAATCATTATCGCGGTCATCGACATTGTACTCGTAACTTGTCGGACATGGCAGAATTGTCCATTTTAGAACAAGACCTTCTCCATACTGTTCTTTTCAGATATAACAGATCTGGGCGCCTTTGGTTTTGGGCTAATCGACAGATGAAAATCATGGCGTCACACAGAAATTCCTGTAAACTTACCGTCGACTCGCACTACAGCATAAACATCGTTGTGCTGACAGCATGATAATTGCCATCCAAGCCAAAAGCACCGCCGCTAGTACCATCCACAAGCCATTGCCAAAGCTTACAGCGAAGTCGCTCCCAGGGAAAAGGGAGTCGACGTTGTTTCTAACGCCGACAACCAGAGCAACGTTTGCAGCAAAAACAGCAGTCGAAACAACTGCTGTTATTGTGGCGACTATGAGTCCGATTGTTGCGATTAAGTGTGAGCGAAGTAAAAGAGACAACACCAAGGCGACGGTCGAGAGTGCTGCATTGACGAGATGCAACACAAGTATAGTCAGGAGGGTCGAGTTTGCCACATCTGCGAGCTTAGAGGAGAACCCAACCAGAGACAAAATGCTTGTAGGAACGGTGTATCCCAACTGTAGGCCATAGCATGCTTCTTGTGCTCTGACACCGTTAAGGATACTGAAATGTGGCAGATGAGGAAACAATTGGCAAAATTTGGTCAAAGTAAATGTTCTACCTCAGTGCACAGACACCCCATACTCCAAATTGCAGTTCTGTGATTGCATTTGAGACGGGATCAACAGAATTTATTGCTGAAACTTTGATGATCATGATTGGCTTGATAATTGGTAAAGATAACCCGACCAAGAGAAAGAGGAATGCAGCGAGAAATAATATGAAGCAGGCCAGACGGACAGTGTGCTGCTGCAGTAGCCGTAGAAGCTTTTGAGACTTGGCTAGATGGCCGCGTAACCACTGTAGGACACCCTCCATGCTTGGTGTTACCAGCGACTGGGTTGGGAAGATGGATGCAATGCATTGCTATGTAGTGTCTTGCGTGGCTTTGGAGCTGCACGCGAGACAGCCTGGAAATATACATAGCTTTGTTATATGATGCTCGCAAGGTCTCGCGTACTCAGGCTGTAGTAGGAGCTCGTGAGAGTCCAATTTCAAACCCACTCGCAGCGTTCTGAAAATACAGGAGAGCCATTGTCGGTGACGAATAGAATATTATATCTGATAAAGTGAGTTGCTGAGTCGACAAGCACGACAGCTAAAACTTGAAGCTTGAAGCTTGAAGTACAGCAGCAGTGAAGTTACTGGGCTGAACCAATTCAGCATATAGTCCGCCGGCCATTCCCACATAAATAAATAATGTGATCAAGCGCTCAAATTAGTCGGGGACGGCTCACACCTCCTGGGGGCTTAGTAGTACTATGATGTACCAGCGTCTAGCTTTGACCTGCCTCTAGTACAAGTTTTTAGCGTATAGCTTAAGCAGAACAGCTGCACTGCCAAACTCGTTATGTATTCCATTCGTACTTGTATTCACATCATTTGCTTGCGAGAGAAAAACAGATGGCGCGAACTCAACCGACGCGCGCCCGCCCACGGGATTCCACCCGACGGAGATCACGTGACTTCTCGCAGAGCCGAGCCGTTAGTTTCTCTACAAAAATGTCAGACATGTTTGTAATCCATCACTGTGATGTTATAAACTACCAACTAGAATGTCACTTCTTAGTTCTTCCAGAATTTCCATGATCAAAACTCGCTCAAACAGGGTAGAGGTCTCCTTGAGTGCTTGCGTGATGAATCTCTCCCTCCCGGTAGATGACATCTGGAAGAAATGGTGCACATGCTCGTCAGTGGACAAGCCAGCCTCGGTGATTATCGCATGGAAATGGTGCAAGCCTGGCATTGAAGCCAGGAGGGTTGACAACAGAGCCAGACATGATGTGGTGTCTGAGGCACCACCATTTCGAAACGTGTTCACTTGACTATCCTTCGGCTGAGTGGCCTGATAATCAGAACAAACAAGATCATGCTATAGCATGTATGTTAGCATTCTCAGAGCATAATTGTCAGTGGAATAGGGAGGAACCTGTACATTTTCGGGTCGAGTCTCCTGATCGTCAGAGAACATGGTGAATGGTATTTGATGCGGACGGTCATGCTATATCGCGTGTGTTAGGCGGACTCCGAACATAATTGTCAGTGGAATAGCGAAGAACCTGTACATCCTCAGGCTGAGTATTGTGTTTGCCAGAGCAAACGGTGAGTGACATTTGACTTGGACATTCATGCTATATCATGTATGTTAGCCGGACTCGGAGTATGATTATCAGCGAAATAGGAGACCTGTACATCTTCAGGCTGAGTAGCCAGGTTGTCAGAGTAAACGTTTGATTGTCTCTGGCGGTCGGGCTGAAACATGTGTTATATGATTGTCAGTGGAGTAGGGAGAAGTTAGAACCTGTGTAACTTGTAGTTCGGACTCTAGTCGCTGGTCGTAAATCAGAACAATCAATCTGGTAGTCAAACCATGTAGTTTTTGAATTACCTGGAGATTTCTCGTGATTCTTGGGCGACGGTACATCATGCCAAGGAACACTTCCACCGCCCACGTGTCTTCATAGCGCATCAGGTGCGACAGCTCTGCGTCAAGTAGAACCTACAAGATATGTTTCAGCCTCAGACACCCCAAGTAGTTGCACTCTGCACAAATATATTACCTCTCTCTTGAAGAAATCTAATTTTGATTGAGGCTGCTCCAGATACGGTATCGAAAAATCGATGTGACGAAGAGCTAATTCTCTGATCATTCTCTTTGAGGAGCAATCAGGCTGTAATCCATATCTTCAGGTTTTGATAGACGCTTACTTGTGTCTTGCAGCACACCTGGGGATTCATTTTCAACCCTGCATGGAGATAGCGTACAGGAAGCCGAGGGTGGCACAGGCTGTCTATGGAAGCTTGCGAAGGCCGCCTTACCAATACAGGGAGTCCTTGACGTTGGGGTAAGGCTACCAACACGTAGACACTATTAATCGTGGTCCGGTCAATTGCAGTAGATAAAACCCACACTTTCTGGAGCCGCGAGACCTAGTGTGACGAACCATGCCAGTGACAGGGAGTGGGTCAGTCTGCAGTACTGAAGTGCGATTTGCCGTGCGATTTGCCCAGCAATTTATATCCACGTGCATCCTCTTTATCTGCGTTGATCAATTATAGAATATGTCATTTGAAGAGATCAAAACAGGTCAAATACCAAGGTGTTTTCCCCAAAAAGTCGTCAAGACTCGTGGCTAACATGATGTACAGCAATTCAAGCGCGTGTCTAGAACCGAACAACACGTCTTCACTTCTGAATTGCCATGAAAAACACACCTTGGACACTGATCTCCGCAGCCGTCATCTTAAGCATATTGTCTTAGGTAGTGAGTGCTGCTTTAAGAAGCGAGGAACAACATCCTTTGGTACTATGACTTTTGAAGCCTTCCAACGCGTTGTACACAAAGCGTGCACTCGCTGTCAGTGGAATACATGTCTTTTGATTAACAGTGTGAGTGTATCTAAGAAGAGAATGGCGTACCACAGGTTGTCTGTCTCTGGAGAAAACGTGGCAGGAGCGTGTTCAACCATGGCGTCGAACTCGAAGTGCAAGCGGCTCATTTATTGCTTCTCGGAAGGTCAATATTCAATACTAGTGGTGTCAGTAAGTACCGCTCATCCACCGCTTACCCTAAATTCCACAGAGATATCCTGATAATCTAGCAGCTTCGATCAGTATCAACACAACAAGATGCGAGACCAAACAGAAACAATTATTATAGGCCGAGATATTCTACCGAAAGTCGATATTGTACACGAGATATTGATGAAGCATGTTAGAACAATAGTAAGGGATGGTATAGCCCACGGCACGAATGGAACTTGTGATAAGGGAGATTTTTATGGCCTGCGAGTTGTAGCCTAAAATGTGGCTGGTGTAACGGTGTAGCTGTAGAGGTCCAAGAAAATCAATGCCAATAGAAAACATCAGAAGCACGGAATACACTGCATCGGATCATACGGCATCTCTAACATCCTCTCGCACCAAACTGCCCTCCTCACCTGTAAGCCGTCGAGTCCCGTAAACGCCACCGCCGAAGAGGTCCCCACCACCAGAATGATGTCCACCCAAGTCCAAGGTCCGTCTCTGGCGCAAGTGGAACATGTTGCGGGGGCTGAAGTTCAGGTTGATAGCCACGCCGCCGAAAGAACTGGTCCTGCGGCAGTAATTCTGGTTCTGCGATTCTGCCTGGATCACTTCTGTCATCGTCCTCTTCAATCCTAATCTGTAGCTCTTGTCCTTCCCTCCGATCCCGCTCTACGCCCCGTAGTCCATAGCTACCTAGTCCCCATCCGATAACTTGGGCACCAGGTTCCCGCATCGCATTTCGGGTCTCTTCACGGCCGAACACTTGATGTATGCGCTCCACGCGCTCGACAGCTTGTATTCTCGCTGCGGTAAGATGTGCATGGCGCAAGCGTGCGTACCATCTGTTTACAAATTGTAGAGGTAGCATGCCCCTTGACGATCCACTTGTCACTGAACCTGCAGTCGGCAGGGCATTGCCAGAAGCGAGAACCTTCAGCGGTTCAGAATTGTCAAGTACTTCGTGCCCCTCGCCGGAATCTCGGCTCTCGATTTGGTCGCGCTTCGTTGTAAATGCACCGGTGACACCCTTCCACATGGTCTTGGCCTTCTCCCGTTGCTCCTTCCTCCTCTGTGCTCTCAGTTTCCTCTTTCTTTCACGTTTCTCCTCCTTCATCAGCATCTCTTCTAGCTCGCCGACGCCCATCCCAGAACCAACCCACCACCACCACCCAAGGAAACTTTGCCACATGACCACGCTCCACATAAGTTTTGGCATCCATCCATATTGGTCTTGACTCGGTATGTAGATGAAATTGAGCGTGGTCGACATGAGAGCGAGAACAATTGCGCCAGCACCGAAGGCTGACGTCCCGCCATCGGTGCGCCATGCCGCCTCCCGGTTAACAAAGAAGCCCCAGATTATTAGTGCAGAAGTGAACAGCAACGACAAAGCTGCATTGCACACGTTCCGGGTGTCCTCCGCGAGTGGCAGTGGGGTCATATCGTAGAAGATCGGGAGCAGTTGCATCACAGCGGATATGATTGCCAATGGACCTGATTACAAGCAGAAATGTTGTAATCAGTATTGCGGGAATAGTGCGGAATACAGAATATAAAGTGCCCATGACTCGTGCCCACATAAAAAGAATACCCCCAAATTCCAATTTCGATAAATGGTATAATCCCCGAAATCACGAAATCACGAAACATATCTTTATTCCAGACACAAGAACACAGGATACATTTGGAACATAGATGCAGGGGCTTTGCAGCCGCACTCACCAAGCAGGCCAAAAATGAGTCTTGCCTCCAGGTTTGAGGGAAACAGCAAGGTCAGAAAATGAATGTGGGTAACCTAAATAACATAATTGGTACAATCAGAGTGGACTACGTTCATTTGCACTGACCTGTATGACCATAGATGTAGTCGCATTCATTACGGTCCACGTAGCACTCTCGGCAAGTGACCATCGGTGTGCATATACCACAGTAGGATCATTGCTGTTTCCCGTTATATTGACGCCGTGATTTGGCATGTCCACAGCCAGATAGCTCAACATGTACGGCCAGTGCTGGCTCTCCTCTACGTTGGAGGAGAATATGACATAGATAGTAGCGGTGACGGAAGCAAGCAAAGTTACCACTCCGGTAAGCTGTAGCATATAATTGACACGAGCTAGAGGCCAGTGATACTGAGCGGTAAAAAGCAGGTGAAGAAGCAGAACGACGACAAGCGTGAGGACCACGCCTGACAGGAGGATCTGGACTGGTAAGGACTCGACGAAGGCGGGTCTATACTGTAGAATAGGGTCATGGTCATAGCCACTGCTATCGTTTTGGGCCATGACGGAACAGAGCTGGAAGATAATAGTGAAGAAGAGGGCAAGCCATTCTTGCCATGTGGACGGCATCATGAACAAGTTCCAAGAGACAATGTGACTTACTGTCACGTACTATGTCACAGACTTGGCCTTGGCTTGCTTGGCTATTATACTTGGCCTCCACTTACTGGACCTGCTTCGTGTGAAGTGAACGATAAGACCACTTCAAATTTTGGAGCACTCAGTGCTTGGAACTCCGCTAACCGTGTACTGATCGGCGAGTGCAATTTCGTATACAGCGCCTTGGCAGTGGAGTCCACCTCCGCGCAAACGCCTTGTGACGAGCTAGATCAAAATTCGATACTCACGTTATCATCGATGAAGGTAGAGATAATCAAAATTTGCATGCCTCGCTCCCGGAAGTTTCAAGCTGAGGCCGGCGTAATGTTTCTGACTTTTGTGGAACACTGGAATCATACTCCGACGGCAGGTGTTTTGCCTGGATGATGGCCGTCAGCTGATGTGTTTTTCTAGCCAGAGTCGGCCAATGGGGCTTTCAGTCGTGACAAGCATTGTCTTCGTTTCCGTCAGCATCTTCCCATGTGACTCGGGACTCAAAGTGCGCGGCGTAGCGCTATAGCCACTCTGGGGCTGATCTATGTAGAGTCCTGGGGACACAAACTACCTGGGGTAATAATATTAATCCTCGAAAAGCTCTGGACAAAGTTCCTGTTGAACAGAGACTCGTGTTGCTGTCGATGATTTCATATTAGCAAGCAGTGGAGCCGTCAGAGTCTCGGCACGTTTGTTCGGACCTGACGCGTCAGACGGCCCTACTACGTCCGCCCCGCGCTGAAAACATGCTTAACAACAATAGTATCAGGCTGATACCCAATTGGCACACGAAATGAGATGTATGTTTTCCATATGAACTGGCTGTGATTCATCTATGATCTAAATAAATACCTGTGTACATAAAGGTTTGAGTCTAGGGAAGGGGTAATGCAGATCCCAACGGTGCAGATGACACAGAATCCAGATTCGTGGATGGTGCGATTGGTACCGGTGCATCTCCAGCAGTCGCATTCAGTTGCGCAGCCATCAGCGTCCGGAACCTCGAGTCCTTCGAGTTCACAAGTTGCTTAAACGTCCCCGACTCTGTTATCCGACCATCTGGGTGCACAACCTCCCCGTTAGTTAAATCTTGAATAAAAGAGGCAGGATGCATCACCTTCAAGCACGACAATTCGCTCCGCGCGAGCAATAGTTGACAAGCGATGTGCAACGATCAGACATGTCGTGTGTCGTGCTCGCAGGATCTTGTCAATAGCATCATTGACCTGAGAGGTCCTGTTAGAATAAGGTCACTGAGGTAGGGCGTAAAGGATCTTACCCTATGTTCCGACGCAGCATCAAGCGAGCTGGTCGCTTCATCGAGCGCCAAAATTTTGGGCTTCTTCAGCAGCGCACGGGCAATCGCTAGGCGCTGCCTTTGTCCACCACTCAAGCTCAGACGACCAACTGAACAAAAGAATCGTCAAATAATTCACACCAAGCAGGAAGAAGGTGGCACAAACTTTCGGTGTCGAACCCTTTCGGCATTCCAAAGATGAACTCGCAGTTTGCCTCGCGTGCAGCGGCTTCGATCTCCTCGCGCGTAGCATCCTTGTTTCCGAAGGCAATATTTGATGCGATGGTCCCTGTGAAGAGGACAGGCTCCTGTACGGCTGTTATCACAAGAGCGGATGTAAATACAGAAGTAAGCACTTGCCTGGGGAACAATGCCGATTATGCTGCGCCATGAAGAAGGATTGAATTCACGAATATCTATCCAGCGACGTTAACGCTCCATAAGAGGCGAGATGGGCACTACCCACCTTGACCATCAAAGGTCACTTTCCCGCGCACAGGATCGTAGTACCGCAGAAGCAAAGATTGTACGGACGACTTGCCACCACCACTTCTCCCCCTGTATACTCCAGGGTCAGTGGTACCAATAATGACTGCTAGCTTGCACGACTTACACGATTGCCACGCTCTCTCCGACGCCGATCTCGAGATTGAAATCATCGAGGATTTGCACGCCTTTCCGACTGGGGTATTCGAACCCGATGTTCTGGAATCTCACCGTGCCATAGCGCGAAGCGTCGACGTCAACCCCTCCATGGGGCGGAATCGCTGGCGTGCGGTCGAGTAGCTCAAATATGCGTGTACCCGCACCGATCCCACGCATAATGGATGACTATTATCGCTCAGTTTAATAGAGACCGTTAGAGTATCGAAAACCTACGAAAAATGAACTGTGCAGGGCAGTGTTGCAGTGGACATATCATAAGTGGAAAAGGACTCACGTCAACATTTGAAGACCTGAGCCAACATATACGGTATATAGCAAGAGACTTGTCAGGTCTCCGACAGTGATCGCACCCTGCGAAACCAGTGTTCCCCCTACACAAATGTATTTAGAGATTTTCACCAAGATGCAAGGAAGTTGTGCACGGGCCACATACCGTATCCAAGCAGCCCAAGGATAGTCACATTTCCGCTCCAACCAGTGCTTCCAAAGAAGATTCCTGATGCAATCGCCTCCTTCCGGGCTAGCGTAAGGATGCGTGTCACCCGGTCGTGGAACTTGCCCTCCTCTTGGTCGCGCGCATTGAAGGCTTGAATTGTCCGTAGAGCCGACAGCGACTCTTGTGCAACCTGGAGTATCATGGAAGAAATGTGCGAAAAAAAGGGGGAAAGGAGCTAATGCTGACCTTGGTCATGTCACCCATCGCTTCTTGCGTCTGGTTCGAAAGCTTTTTGAGGTAGCGACCATAGAATACCTGCAAGCGCTCAGATTCCGCTATAATAAAATGAAGTTCCACTCACAGCACCGAGAGATACTGGTGGAACAATTCCCAACATCATCACAGTTAGGGTGGGGGACAAGTAAAACATGGCACCGACTGAAGAGGATATGCCCATTCATGAGCAACAACAGCGCGTCTGTATATACGACACTTACGGCCAACAGACGACATCACGATGGCTCGCAGTCCATCTGAAAGATTCTGTGTGACGCTGCGTGCAATAATTTGAATGGATCTTTCTCGGATATTGCACTGCGAAACCCTACCTCTCCCCGACAATGCTTGAATCGGCAGTCAGTCTGCTCAAGACATCACCCTCTCCCTTCTCCACGAATTCGACTTCCTGTCTGAGTGCTGCAGCATACGCCCGCTCCCTCAACCGTGCAACAATTCGCTGGCCCGACATTCGCATGAGGAACGACCTCGCTGCATTGCACGTTGCTCCCGTCGTAAACAAAATCAGAAGAGCTGCCGAGGCTTGCCCAATCGACAAACCGAATGGTATTTCCTGCGCACGTGATGAGTTAACCGCGTCATTCCCTCACTGTCAATTTACTCACAGGGTTTGCAGAAGAGAAAAAATCTATCAATTTTCCGATCGTGAACGGAACGCTCATGGCGACTGAAGAGGACACCAGCAGCAGGCCCACCGCAAGTAGTAAAGGCTTTTTCTCCTGCTTAGCCAGTGCGACGATTTTCCGGAATGAGGAGCTACTTCCAGGTGCAGGCTGCAAAGCAGGTGGCAGGAACCTCTTAAGCCCAGAGACCTTCTTGACAGGCGTCTCAGTTGCATAGAAACGCGAGATCTGGATAGAAAAGGGATGTGTTCTTCTCCTGGAGAGTATGTGTTGAGTCTGTGACGAAAACGCTAAGGGCCGGACATTATTATGGCAAGACGCCAGCACCCTGCCAGTGGTACTTGGGATTCGAACTCGGAAATTTGACACGTAGATGCCCTGCAGCATATTCTATCACAAGTTAAGCATCAAAGCCGTGTTTCAACGCTCCACCGTTTTCTGTCCAGCCGAAGAGTGTGATTTAAATCCAAGTCTTGGGCAGTGTGACCAAGTTGTGAAATGGCTAGTGTTTGCAGTGTTTGTGCATTGTTTGGTGTGACACCCTATGATACTAGGTCTTCAGGAAAACCTTTATGTATATCATATACAAGCAGGAATCCATCAGACGCTTGACACGGCCTCTGTTTTGCTAAACTGCAGTCCCACGAAGGATATAACCAAGCATCCTCGAGACACTGCGTGATGTAACGGGCACTCTTGCCCTCTGTCGAATGACTGGAGTGCGGTTGTTAACTTGAAGGAATCATCGAGTGGGTGTGAAGGATGGCATTGGCAGACCTACGAGATTTAAGTGAGTTATTATAATAGAGATCCAGCTCAGTATATTTTAGATCACTCTGTTTAGCTGTAGCTTGTCTTTGAGAGGCGAGTAGTCTGATATGCTGGACACCTGGGGTGGGTTTCAAGTTTCAACGGACTCTGGAATAATTCAGAATGATAAAGTGTTAGATGACGATGCGTTACTACGTGCATTGTGCAAGGAGACGGCAAATAATTCATGATTCATCCTGATTTTTTCTGCCGATATATAAATTCGTTTTCAGGTCTATTTCTGCGGCTGGCAGCGGCTCCATCCGGTTGAATATGTAACAGACGGGTGCAAGACGGGTGGCTGACATGATTCAGATGAGTTTACGCTGTCGTTACAACACGGCTCGCATGAATGATGAGTTCACCTGACAGGGCAAAACAGACACACATTACAGTGGCATCCCCCTTTGATCATTAGATGCGACGTTGTTCCGTCCTGCCTGGTCGTGTATTAGTCATCCATTCCTTCTGTAAGTCATCTGTTCTACTTATGGATGTGACTATCGAAGGTGTTACTAGTACCGGCGGTGAATGGCTACTCCGATATACTGTACAGAGTCGTGGCGACGGTCACTATGTGCGCACGACCGCTTCGGCATCTATGATATCGCGCTCAGGAGTTCGGGGATCTACATCCGCTGTGGCATCGTCGTCAGTGATCGTGCAAACTTGCACCGGTGGGCACCTGGGCCGCGTGTCGAGCCCTAATTTCCATACCCTCAGGCACAACCTGCAGATAGCACTTGGGCTTGTATGCCATGTTCTCCAGCGCCTACTTCCTGAGCTCGAGGCTACACCTGGGTGACCCGATTTTGACCACTATCAATGATTTGGACTTTCAACCCCATCATACTAATACTTTTTCGCGCCACTGGCGTCAATCATCTGGCATAGCCGACACCAATGATGCAACAAGTACTTGGTGTTTTAATATACTAGTATTATAAGGTAAAGTGGTTCACAAATCACAGTCCTACCCGCTAAGCCTCATAAATCAGGCCTTATTGGTTCAATGTTTAAGAATATGACGAGGCTTCGGCTTAGCTACTTCAAACCTTGTGACTATTTGTTTGATGGGCCAGGCCATGGCTAGCGACTCGCCTACTTCCAAGGTGATGAACCCATCTCCAAACCGCTGGACAAAGTATTTCCTTTCTTAGCATGCCCATAAATTCGCACAGATTTGCGCGCGCGATCTTTACCACCGACCACCATCTGCCACGGTTTACATCCTGCAGGATTTCACTGGAACTGGATGCTGATGATGCATTAATGGGTCATTCAAAAGCTGATGCACTTTCTTGCTGTGATTTCCGCGCGTGATAAATCACCCAAAATTGCTATTTGTCTCATCGCATATCCTCGTATACCCTCGAGTAACCACATGGCTCCATAGCAAAACCAAGCTGCGATGGCCGGTGCATGGCATGGAATTGATGCATCTTCAAATTTCTAAATCAAATTTTGATGTCGCGCAGGACAACGCCGGAGGAGTTATAAGAGTTTATCGCTACAATCGCAATCTCCGTCAGCCTCTCGAGTTCGCTAGCCATGTTGTCCATCTTCGCCGTGCCTCTTCTTGCTCTGTCTGCTGCAAGTGCGAGCACGCTCACTGCCCGCTCCACTTCCCCTGTCGTAGGAACTTGGTATGCTGGTTGGCATGCTACCAATGGGTTTCCGCTGTCTTCAATGAATTGGGGAAAGTACAATACAGTGTACTACTCGTTTGCGTAAGTTTCCCGTTGTTAGCTTATCACGTTGGCGGGATGATCAACGTGATGGTGTCTTTTAGGATCCCCACTTCAAGCGTTGACAGTCTCAGCCTGGATGGCTCTAATGGCGATCTACTTCCTCAGTTCGTTTCTGAAGCTCATAAAAATGTGAGACAAGGAGAGTCTATCGCTTTTAAAATTGATGTCTAAACCACGTGCAGGGTGTTGCAGCTCATGTTGGTCTTGGAGGCTGGACTGGGAGTCTTTGGTTCTCTTCTAGCGTTGCCACATCTAGCCACAGGACGGCATTTGTCAAGACCGTGGCAGATTTTGCTGATAAGTACAAACTTGATGGCATCCAGTTCGAGTAGGTTGATATTTGTAACTCCAAACTCATGCGCTGACCCCAGCTGTCCCTGATTTCCGACAGCTGGGAATATCCCGGCAAGCAGGGTGTTGGTTGCAATACCGTCAGTGTCAATGACACAACCAATTTCCTCAAATTCCTCCAGGAGCTTCGCCAAAACACAGTGGGGGCAAAGCTGACACTCTCAGCCGCGGTATCCCTCCTACCCTTCATGGACGCTAGCGGACATCCTTCTGCTGACGTCTCCGGTTTTGCGAAGGTCTTCGATTACATCACTTTGATGAACTATGACGTTTGGGGCTCTTGGTCTGAGCATGTGGGGCCAAACGCACCGTTGAACGACACCTGCGCATCGTCCGCAAGACAACAGGGCTCTGCCGTTTCTGCAGTTAAGGCTTGGACTGCCGCAGGCATACCGGTCAACAAGATTGTACTTGGAGTTGCTACCTACGGCCACTCGTTCAGCGTATCTCCCTCTGCCGCCTTCAAGCCTGGCACGAAGAATGTAGCTCCATACCCCGTTTTTGACGCCTCGAAGCAGCCCTTGGGTGATGTGTGGGATGACGGAGTCGGTGGTGCCGATGTTTGTGGTGTGAGTCAAGGCCCAGGGGGCACTTTCAGATTTTGGGGCCTTGTGGACGGCGGCTTCCTTAACAAGGAAGGCAAGCCTGCTGATGGCATTTACCACAGATATGACAGATGCAGTGAGACTGTAAGACTTCCATCCTCGATCACATATTGTAGCAGTAGCGCTGACTTTACTGCTTTACAGCCGTATCTATACAATGAGACCTCACAAGTCATGATCTCCTATGACAATCCCAAGTCATTCGCTGCCAAGGGCAAGTTCATTAAGGAGGCTGGACTGCGCGGTTTCACAATGTGGGAGGCTGGTGGTGATTACAACAATATGCTCCTAGACTCTATCAGCGAAGCTATGGGGCATTAATACGCTGCTGATAGCATCCCTATACACTCTTCCAGTCGCTACTAAAATGGACTACAGTTGCTCTCTAACCGTAAATGCGTTGACATTCCCTACATACTAATTAATAGTATATTTTCGTTCTGTCCGATGCTGCACAAGAAACTGTGATTACAGTTCAAATGGAGGCATCCTGAAGGGAGTTCGAATGTGAAGTTTCAGCTTCATAGCTAGTGGGAACTACGAAAATAGTGACAAGATTCAACAATATTCTGGCAGAAATTTTCGTCACTCCGTTCATGAACGATGCCTCGATTAACCACAATATCCTTGTAGATTCCTCTACATGTACACAATACAGTCCAATCTTGTGGTATAATGATTGACGGAATTAAGTAAAGGCTTCGTTTTGTTGGTCCAGGTTTTGTGCTTCAAACCTTCGATTGTCACGGTTCAGTCAGTTTGTAGATTTCACACGATTAATATTCTACTAAATATATTTATACGATCTCTGTAGATTTTCCACTTGCATGACTTGTTGGGAAGCTTCAATCGATAATCCCCTAGTGAAATCTGCGCAGGCTGAGAGTGTAAGATGAAAGACTTTTAGAATTGCTATATACGCGTACTCGACATCATATAGGCACCGCGAAATGGAAATTTGAAGTGTGCACGTTGTTCGTTCTTTACAAGTGATTGCATTGCTGCGTCTTCCGAAGTGTATATTGTACTGCCTTTGCGTGCACGACTGTCGTAGCTTCACTTGTTTTGGCGTTTGTCGCAAGGGATTGTAAGTACGATTACATTACATGTTAATTCCTACCTGCTTACAGCTTTACAGTGCAATCGCAACTCCCACTGCCAGTGGACACTCGAATTTCATCCACATCGAGTCTGAGTCTGGACATCCGTACCACGTTGGGTTATACCACCTAAACACCCTCGAATTACGGTAACGAGCTAAAATCTCGTTTTCGCGGGCAGTACTCAGTATGTAGGCTTACTATCATACAGTGATGCACACTCACGCCAGTCAATAAGCACATAAAACCATGCTCTCCGACTCTGACACCGAAGATATCCAAACCTTCACTATCAATGAGCACTATGCAAAAGCCTTCGAATACAGAAAGGAGCGGGAGGAGCTCACGAAATGTACGTCCGAATCACATTCCCGTCTCACGTAAACTAAAACACCACCTCCAGTAAAAGAAAAATATGGGTCAGACTTTGAAGAGGGCACGGACGAGGAGACAGACTCTGAGGATGCAGAATCTGAAGATGAGGATGGGGAGGAACTCACGCCTGCAGTGGATGCAGCCATTCTGAGGACGCTAGCAAGGATCAAGAAAAAGGATCCGGCTATCTACAATGCGGAGCATACCATATTTGAAGGTGCAACCCCATCTGTTATGAGCCACACGCTAGTTCTGACACTTGTTAGAGGAGCAGGAGCGCACCACCGTTCGCGCTCCTCAGGTGCAAGAGCGAAAACCCAAGGATAAAGTAAGTATTTGAATCGCGAGTGCGACCTTTACTGAGTACTTCTCATTCATAGTCGAAACCTCTTACTTTCCGACAAGCAGCTCTTGCATCCGCTCTCGAAGCCAACACCTCTCGTTCCCCCACTCCAGAACCACACATACCTACGCATACCGAGGAGCAGTGTCAGCTACGCGATGAAACCCGTGCCGCATTCCATACCGCTGTTGATGAAAGCGACGACGACGGTTTGCTTATCCCACGAGAGAAAACAAAGGACGAGCTTGAGCATGAAGAAGAAGAATATCGAGAATACCTCAAGCATGCGGTTGGCGAGGATCTGGAAGGTCTCATAGAGGTCGAGAATTCGGGGACAGGTGCAAAGGCTGAGAGCAGTGAAGAAGGCGCGAGTAAAAAAAAGAAAAGCAAGACGAAGAAAAAAGGTAACGAGGCGAAGGGCATGTCCAAACCAGAGGCCGATCAGGAATTCCTCGTGAAGTGAGTCATGTTTCTTTATGAATACAGTCACTCTTAAATCTCCTCAGCTATATCCTTAATCGTGGATGGATCGACAAATCAAAAAAACGACTGCCTACATACAAGGATATCGCGGACGTAAAAGAGGAAGAGCCCACCATGGAAGATGACGACGAATTCGAGGAGATCGCCGACGTTTTCGAGACTTCATACAACTTCCGTTTCGAAGAACCGTGAGTACCGTCGCACTCTCCACTTCATTCTGCTATATGCCCTTCGCCTACCAGGGATGCAGCCACTATCAAGTCCTTCCCACGAAATATCGTTTCCACAGTGCGCCGAGTTGATACGACTCGCAAAGAGGGCCGTGAGCGAAAGAAGCAGCGCCAGGAACAAGAGCTCGAGAAAAAGCATGAGGAGGTGAAAAGGTTAAAAGCCCTTAAAATGAAGGAAATTCGCCGAAAACTCGAGTGTATCGGGCGTGAAGGCGGCGTCAGTATCGGTTCCGATGCTGAAGGTTCGTTATTCTTGTTACCTCTAATTATTTTGACACTAAAACCATGCAGCCTTCAAGGAGTTCGACCTCGATGCGGACTGGGACCCCGAAGCACATGACACGCAAATGGCGGGGCTCTACCACGATGTCAACGACTCTGATGTTGACGTTGATCAAGAAAAGCCCGTCTGGGACGATGACGTCGATATCAATGATATCATACCACCTTCTCACCCCGCCGAATCCTCTTCGTCTTCAAACAAGAAGAAGAAAAAGAAGAAGAAAAAGAAAAATGACGAGATCGACGACGAAGGGGTGGATATCGACGCTATGGATGCAGATGTCGTGCGCGAGTACGATGAAGAGGAATGGGATGGCACTGAAGAGATGAGGAAGCGCAAGCTTGATGAATACATGGACGAAGTCTACGGGCTTGAATTCAACGACATGGTGGGCTTTATCGTCTCATCTCTCTGGCAATCTGCATTCACGCGTATTGTCGCAGGTCGCAGGAATGCCTACGCGTTTCAAATATACTACGGCTGCACCGCAGACATTTGCGCTCACCCCTTCCGAGATCCTCATGGCCACAGATAAGGAACTTAATCAATACGTGAGCGTGAAGCGCTATGCACCGTACCGCGCGGAAAAGTGGGATCATAACCGTGGAGAGCGCCTCGCGGAGTTCAGGGAGAAATTGAAGGAACGGGCGGGGACTACTAGAACGAGCCACAGGAGCGAGGATCCGACGCCGAAAAAACGGCTGGGTAAGAAGGAGCGACAGAAAATGAAAGCGTCTTCAGGCGCAGGCATCTAGTCTATGGAATATATTTCAAGTGAAGATTTTCGCTAGTCAGCACTAGTCCCGACTCCCCAGGTGCCGAATCCTTGCGAATCTGACTAACCATCTTTGGATGTATTCCAATAAATGGTTCAAAGTTCATTAATCATTTGTGAATCAACCAAACATCTCATGTAATAATGGTTCTCAAAGTCGAACCTTGAAAAGAATTAATAGCGAATTCGGATGCTGCCGATACGGCAGGTTTTGAACTCCGACCTGCCCTGCTGGTGTGCTCGACGTCGTTGCTGCTGGTGTCAACGCTGCCAAAGCTCTAATCTGATTCTTAATCGCTGTCAGTAGGAACACCCTGGATCATGTCAAGATCCAATCAAAGAGGTCGGACCAATACATCCACTGGTACGGACACCTCAAAGAAGTGTACTATCCATTGGGAGGGGGTCCGTAGCGCTCGTACTGAACACCTACTTACGTGGTGCAAGGAAAACGAAGACGCACGCATCAAGCTCTTCTCCGATTCTGCAAAGGATGCCAAGGAGCAAGGTCGGAAGAAGAAGCAGAGTGGTACTTCGAGAGATGTTGTCTATTCACAGGTCGCACAAGCTGTATTTTCGAACGACGAGGATCTGGAGGTTTAACGACTCTTCAAGGAGGATCCCAAGGCATTCATAAAACCAGTTTCAACCCGTTTCGGCACGTAAGTATCTAGTTCCTGCGTCATCCGTCTTCCCACTGGAATCACTGATAAGCTGTTTCAGACTGAGAAAAAAATACAACGAATTCAACAAAGAACTCAAGCAGTCAGGAGCAGGAAAGACATATGCAGAGCTACAAGAAGATCCAAAGATGAAGTCTTTGATCGGTAAGTTTCAGCCGCTGTTGATCTGCACCTGTCCTAACCATGTCTCCATCAGTGTCACGAGTTCCAAATACAAATCATTATTCGTTCCTAAATTCTAAGTCCTTTAAGCGCCCAGTCACAGCGCCTGTTCCTAAGAATATGTTTACGGTTGAAGAAGTTCCTATTATTGCATCTATTGTAGAATTACCAGAGTCACGTGATCTATCGGACAAAGCCGAAGATATTGATGTCATGCCCCGCGACACTCTTAAAATGTTCCAGAGTCTTACTGCGGCTGCGGCACATGTTATGACGTCATAGTTATATATAGAATCGTACGATACCTTTAATTATTCTGATTGGTTAGTTAGTTCATACTCAGTTTCAGTCTCAGTTTCAATATGTGTATATAGGTAGCTCGTCGTAGTCAGCAGTTCTTTAGTTCAAACCTCTTGTATCTCCAAGTGAGCAATCCAAGACGTACCTGCTGCCTTATCATCTTTGTGATTATCTTGTTGTTTGAGTCCTAGTCTCTGCCCTGCGTTAATTCGTTTAAGGGGTTGTGACATTAGGTTTGAACTATAGGAGACTCCGACTCTCGCGTTACACTCTCGCATCTCTTTCTCTTTCGCCTGGTCGTGTTGATAGCCATCACACCATCAGCCGAAACAGAACCGTTATACTTTTGCCCAGCTTAACCGCTGCGATCCTTTGTTTCATCCCTTTGCTCATTTGAGCGCATTTTCCTACCTATCATCTTTCTTAGTTAGTAGTCCTATACCAGGCCCTGTCTTACCGCAGCCGCCAGTATACGGAGGTGTTCACGACATTAGGCGTGTCACTGCAACTTTGAGTGCTGGCCCAAAACCCTGCCTGCTCAACGTTACTATAGTTTCATTTTACCTATTCCTTTCTTCATACGCACGTAGGCATTCGTTTCGAGTCAATAGCGGAACTGTCTAGACGACAAACCGTGCTTTCGACCTACGAGGATTTAGTGACATACCCTAGTGAGACTCGCACTTGTAAGCTTCGGCTGGAAGAGTGATAACTTGTCCTAGGCTTGTACCCTCAGAACGGAGATTGCATTGTCCCTAGTTTTTCCCACTCGATCGAGTATAGTTACGTATCCTTTTTAGTTAGTATCAGGGAAGCATCGGTTGGGTTGATTAAAGAACCCTTCGATCCTGAAGTACGTGGTAGATCCGATCAGATATCGGGGACCGCTTCAGTTTTCCATTTACATAAACTTTCTTCTTTTCACCATCATTCCCTTTCGGAAGAGCCCTTACGAGCAGCTCTTCAACAGACATCAGTGAATCGGGTTCCAGAATACAACTGGCACTATGTCTGAGTTACCAAACTCTCCTACACAACCTGCACCGGCGGTGGTATTACCATCTACTCCACAAGAAATCGTTGAGTACATTCACATGTCACTTGCGAACCAAGCGGACAGCTTTAGGGTCAGAATAGCGGAACTAGAAGCCAAGAATTTAGCTCTAGAAGAAGCAAACAGACTCCTGGGCGTACGCCTGGAAATGCAAGAAGATGAGACTGTGAAAATACAATCTCAACAACCATCATTCGGCTCTGTAGGAGCTAGCCTACTTTCATCGAACTCTTCCCCCTCCATCAAATACTCCAAACCCCAAGACTTCACTGGAGAAAAGGACTCCATAGAACTCATGGTCTGGATATCCCAAGTAGCGCTATACACTGCGCAATGGCCCAACATCCAAGAAGGCCAAAGAATTGGAGTAATGCTCTCCTTCATGAAAGGTACTGCAGCCAAATGGGCGCAACCTTACATTAGCAAACTTGGAAAGACTGGAGATGAAAAGTTGACCGTGGAGAAATTCCTGGAAGACTTAGAAGCCATGTGGGGGCAAGAAGATCGTGAAGGGAAAGCGATCAGAGAACTGGAATCCCTTAGACAAGGATCTTCCTCAGTTCCAGAGTACACGGCCGCTTTCAGACAAAAGGCCGCACACACTTCATTTTCCGACTATGACCAGAGACAGAAGTTCAGACTGGGACTTCAAGACCGTGTCAAAATACAGCTCGCTCATGTCCGTTATGAGGACAAAAACACCATGAAGAAACTGGTGGAACATGCGATCCAAATCGGACGCAACTTCGAAGAGCTAGACGCGGACAAGAAGAAGATGACCTGGTGGACCCCTAAACAAGGCCCCAGGACCCCTGAATACAAACCTGGTCCAAGCAGGGAAAGCGACGCTATGGACGTCGACGCCAACAAGCAGCGAGGTGCTCCAAAACCTCAAGGAAGGACTGGATCCTTCAAATGCTACCGCTGTGGAGGCGAAGGCCATATGGCTAGAAACTGCAAAGACGCAGTCGCACCAAAAGTGCAGGTGAAGGCTACTACAGTGCCAAAAGAAGAAGACCCTATCCCGAGTTGGTTCAAAGCTTGGGTCAGCTCCAAGGAAGGCAAGGGTTTTTAGAAGGGTCGAAGTCAAAGTCTGCGAACTTAGACCCGAACAATCGTTTCTCCATCCTATCTACGTTCTCGGATGTATCAGAAGTATATATTAAATCCAAATCTGAGCATTTTTACATTCCGATCACATTGAAGGGAAAGAACCGACAAGCAGATGTGAAAGCACTGGTAGATTGCGGTGCATCGACATTATTTATTAGCGAGAAGTTTGTGAAAAAGAACGAAGTCCGGTGCCATAAATTATTGAGGCCCATTCCGGTTAAAAATATTGATGGCTCGTTAAATGCCGCTGGATCGATGACTCATTACGCTGAATTAGGTCTAAAGATCGGTGACCATGTTGAAGACCAAGCAGCCTTCATGGTTACGGACTTAGGAAGCGATGATGTTATTATTGGCATAGATTGGCTAAGATATCACAACCCGGAAATAGATTGGAACGCTGGACGTTTTGCACTTTCTCGTTGCCCAGTTAAATGTATTACTAAAAAAGAACAAAGACAAAAAAATAAAGAAAATAGAAAAGAACAAAAAAAGATAGAAGAAGTGCCAGACCTGATTCCCACAGAAGAGGATGACGAAGAAGACATGGCGATGAAGAGGGCGACAGTTGAGGAAATAGAAGACGAAGAGTATCCTGGAGAATGGATCAAGTATAAAGCTTCGGTTGCCACGGAGCAGAAGGTTGCAGAAGAAGCAACGAAGGTGAAGAAATTGGTCGAAGAAATGGTTCCCGATTGGCTTCACGAGTACCTGGGAGTTTTCTCAGAAGAAGAATCTAAGCGCTTCCCTGAAAGAAAGAAATGGGATCATGCGATAGATCTTAAAGATGATGGCGATCTTCCGCCGAATGCGAAACCCTATCCCTTATCACCCAAGGAGATGGACACTTTGAAAGATTGGTTAAAAGCCGAAACTGCACTGGGACGTATAAGAAATTCACAATCTCCAGTAGCAGCACCTTTCTTCTTTGTGGCCAAAAAAGATGGCAAGTTAAGACCAGTAATGGACTATAGAAAGCTCAATGAGAAGACGGTTAAAAATGCATACCCGCTACCGAGATCTCAAGATTTGATTGATGCTTTAACCGGTGCCACGATGTACTCCAAGATGGATGTAAGATGGGGGTACAATAATATTCGCATGAAAGAAGGAGATGAGTGGAAGGCGGCCTTCAAAACGCCGTTTGGTCACCATGAACCAACCGTGATGTACTTCGGTTTAACAAATTCCCCTGCCACGTTTCAAACCATGATGAACGAGATATTCAGAGATTTAATTGATGGAAAGACTGTAGTTGTCTATATCGATGATATCCTCGTGTTCACAAATGGCAATAGGGAGCAACACCGAAAAGTTGTACGAGAGGTACTAAAACGACTAAAAGAGAATGATCTGTATCTGAAGCCTGAAAAGTGTAGCTTCGAACAGACAGAAGTCGAATTCCTCGGGTTGATAGTGGAGAAGGGTGGTGTTCGAATGGACCCCGTGAAAGTAGAAGGAGTAATGAAATGGCCTGTACCCAAATGTGTTAAAGATATACAAGCATTTATGGGCTTCGCCAACTTCTACAGAAGATTTATCTTCGGGTTCTCGGACATCGCTAGACCAATGAATGATTTACTACGGAAAGATGTCAAATGGGATTGGACGGAGAAACAGCAAGATGCTTTTGATGAACTGAAGTCAAGGTTTACATCAGCTCCGATCCTAGTAATGCCTGACGTTGAGAAGAAAATGAAAATAGAAACCGATGCTTCTGATTACGCAACTGGAGCGGTTCTATCTCAACTGATGGAAGATGACCTATGGCACCCCGTGGCGTATTACTCTAAGTCAATGAACGATGCAGAAAGAAATTATGACATCCATGACAAAGAGTTACTCGCAATCATTCGAGCGTTGGAGGAGTGGAGGCACTATGTGCAGGGAAAACCTCACCATGTGGAGATCTGGACGGATCATAAGAATCTCGAGTACTTTATGACAAGCCAAAAGTTGACAAGAAGGCAAGCCAGATGGAGTTTATTCCTGGCGGAGTATGAATTTACGCTCCAACATAAGCCTGGCGTAGTCAACGATAAGGCCGATAAGCTTTCTCGGAGAGAAGACCACAGAGGGGGGGTAGAAAACGACAATTCCGATCGTATTTTGTTAAAACCGGAGTTTTTTACTGTAAAAGCTGCTAAAAGAGGTCAAGTTCTAGTGCAAGGAGAAAAACAATTGCTGAGAAAGATAAGGCAATGCACAGAACGAGAACCCGAAGTCGCTAAAGCGCTACAAACGTTAAAAGCAGCACCGGTGCAATTGCGTAGAGGAGTTGAAGAATGGAA